TTCCTTGTTTAGCCATGCAATTACTTTCACGAAAGATATGAGAGAAAGTAACTGAACCAAAATATGCTTTCAGTTTATTAACAGAGGAGAATAGATTATGATGATTCCAAGGACGGTTGTGAGGCTTATTCATCCAGCTAATAACATTGACAAAGTCATATTCTATGATGAGGTGTTAATGGTGGAAGAGACAATTAGATGCTGATAGTTCAATGGCTTTGATAATAGCCCTTAACTCAGCAATATTAGAGTCTAAAATACCAACTGGAACAGAGAACATACCGAGAAGATGGCCATTATGATTTCGCAGCACACCACCTATTCTATAGGGGCCTGGCTTACTAAGAGAGGAGTCATCCACGTTCCATTTGAGGCTATTAATCATAGGAGGAGACCACATATTATTAATCCTGGAAGAGTGAGCATTGGACTACCAAAGCAAGCCATCTGCCAATCTGATTAGATCTATATGGGAGTATGGGAAATCAGAATGGATAGCTTTTAGCCATAGACATAGACGGGTGATAATAAGAAAGAATATTGAATCATAGTCAGGTGTCTTCTATTGGAAAATCAAATCATTTCGAAGAAGCCAAAGAGACCATGCCATTGAGAAGAACAACATCAGTCACGCCTTCCTTTGAAAATGACCATGCACCATGGATGTCCATTGAGACCACAAATCTGAGAAGCTCTTTGGGCAACACTAAACTAAACCCCACCATTTAATGATTTGGGACCAAATGAGCCAATACTTATGGCAGTGCAGCAGGATATGGTCCACCGATTCTGCCTCCACTAGGCAGATAGGGCAATTTGATTCCAAGCTGACCAATATACCTCTTTGAACCAACATACATCGGGTGTTGATTCTGTTAATGATAGCCATCCAGCAAAAGAACTCTACCTTATAAGGGACAATACCTTTCCAAATTCCAACAAACGAGAAGGCATTGTTTATGGAAGGCTTTGGACTTAACAATCCACAGAGAGATTTCACTGAAAATCTTCCTAAATTATTATCCTTCTATATTAGTCTATCCTCTCCATCTTTATCCATGTGTATTGTCGATAGGATTGTATAAAGTTGATCGAGCAAGCCAATGTTGCGCCCCTATAGTGGATGTATCCAGGAAAAAACCTAAATCCACTCATACCCTTCCCACATTCCCATCTTAGCAATGCTGACAGCTTTGTTATTGGATAATTGGAAAAGATTAGGGAAGTGCTCTGCTAAACAGTAGTTATTAAGTCAGCAATCAAGCCAAAACATAGTCTTCTTGCCATTTCTGATAAGAACCAGAGATTGCTCATTCATAATATCCTGCAACTTATTATTTCTCACACAATGATTGACAATCCGGGACCATGTAGTTGTAATTCCATAATCGAGGTCTTGCCTTAGATAAATGGTGGGGCCTACAATTTTATATATTATTTTCAATTAATAACCAAATATTATTATTAGTGCGTTTAAAAGAAACACAAACGTTGCCTCAGAGATAAACGGGCTCTTATTTTGATTTCATGACCTAGACTATGAGTATGGCGGGCTATTCTAATTTAACTCGGGTTGTTTTTTTAATTTAATCTTCTTTTGATTTCATCCTTTAACATTATGTTGCATTTAAATTTGATTTAGATTTAAACTTTGTATTATTATTATTATTGCTTCTTTTTATTGGATTATCTCATTCTTATAATCTGAGTAGCAAGATTTGATGGTCTTGCCTTAGCTTATTTATGTTTTTTTAATTAATTTTTCCCTCGATTTCACCCATCTATATTGAGTTTGTTAGAAATTGAGCTTTGTAATTTTTATTTTTTTTGTTATTGAATTATCCTAATTAACCTCATGACTCAGGTTGACTCATATCGTTTTTTTTTTCAATTTTATCTTTCCGTAATGAGTTGGTTATAGATTGAGCTTCATATTTTAATTTTCTCTTTTGGCATTTGTTTTCATATATATCTATATTAATGTTAGATTAAAGTCAAAGCAATATTTTATTCAATAATTTTTGGATCACTTGTTTTTCAAAAATATATAAGAATAAGTAGGTCTAAGAAGAAGAAAGAAAATTAACAAGGTAACAAAAATAAAGAGAAGGAGATTTAACATATATATATATGAACTTGAGGAGAAGTGTTGACACGATGAATTATTTGATTAATTATAAAAACTAGATCAAATCTTGTATAAAAAATAATTATGTGAATATGAGTGAGATCAAATTTTATATAATATTATTATAATTCTTTATAATAGAATTTTTGTCTCTTTTGAACTCTGCCTATATATATTTTCTCCTGCAATAAAAGGAATACATGTGAAAAAATCAAGTATTAAATAACTTTACAAAAAAGACTCCTTAGTTAATAGGTGGATTAAAATTATTATTCATGTCTATATCCTTAATATTTTCCTCCATATATTAAAAAATATTTGAATACCACTTTGTTGTATCCTCTTCTTCTTTTTTCATTTTTTGTTCTTTATTTTTATTGTTATTTTGTTGAGATACTCCACAATTAATGTTTCTAAGGTTTAAGTTTTTCCTTAATGTTTTTATTTTAATTCTTAACTTCAATTTTAATGGTGAGTGCGGTGGAGTCAAGAACACAAGTGTTATCATGACATTTGTTACCTTTGATATCATAATAAATCAATTGGAAAGCATGGACAAAGTGTTTAAGAAAATCAAGATCAAGAAATAAAAAGTTTAATTGATCAAATTACAAATAAAGGGTTCGATTTTGATTATATAAGAAGCTACGATATTAGGTCTCGTTTGGAAATGTTGTCTTGTAGTTCGTTTACTTTGATATTTCATAGTCAATCAACCTAGTTGTAGTTTCCCTTTTCCAGAAGAAATCAGAAAAAGAAATCAGTTTTCTGAAGTTCTGCCGTGGTTGGTACCTCACGGTAAGTAGGTAGAGAGACAGAGAGGAAAATAAATAATTGAAGAGCAAGTCAACAATATCCTCGCCAACTTCTTACCTTGAAAGCGAGGACTGCCGTTAGATGTCAGACGTGCTGCACATTTCTATTTTATTTTTCATTTGAGAGTTTAATTATTAATTTAATCACATTAATTGCTGCCACCATGATAACTAAAATCAATCTTCTTCTGCAACAAAACCATGCGAGAAAAAGGAAAAGAAAGGTCCTTGTGGTATATTATATTTCATTACAAATATTATTGAAACACTCCTCTCTGCGTTGGTATGTAATTCAATAGAACACAACATTTTGTTAGTAACAGATAGCGAAAATCTTAAAATTAACAAGGATTGGTGAAGAAATCGGATGGTTAGGGATCTGGGTTAACGAAAATCTCTAGCTACTTGAACGTAGATCTCAAAACTTACATTAGCTCGTTTGTTTTCGTATTCTGTTCTCTTTTATAAAGTTTTGTAGTGTCAGCTGCTCATTAACTGTGACGAACAACCTAGCTATTACTATGGATATAGCTCTGCAAGACTTATCAGCACTGTTGCAAATTAAGCCATGAATTGTGAGGCTTGAATGGCTACAAGAGGTATTCTTTAATGAGAAGTAGAAAATACCTGGTCAATCTTAAACACTGCCTGGTCTCAAATGCTCCAAGGAATCACAAAATGTTGAACTAACTAGATATAAATCTTGCAGGCAAATTAGGGTTTCTTTATGTGTTTGTGATTGGTAAGCATCATCAACTCAACTTGGGGTCTCTTTAATTACACCTTGAAAAAGGGGCGTTGCAAACTAATTACGTTTTGATTTCTCTTTTTTGAATCAAGTGGTTATTTATTTAACCTTAAATTTCAGCACGTCCCCTTGCTATATGCAACAATTAAAAGGCACTTTAATTAAATAGATTAGCAGTCACCTCTGCTTAACTCCTTTCTCCTTCATCTTGAAAACGCAAGGACATTATGTGATTAGCAACTTGCAGAAGACACGTCTTTCTAGCTAGGGATTTACTTGTCCCTTGCGTTAATCAACTTTCAACTATTTATGTCTTCTTTTTCTTTCTCTTTTTCAGCGCTAGGAAGATTGCTGGGTTGACAGCAAGGTGTTTATCAAACACATGATGCTGCCCTTTTTGCTTACACCAACATATGACGGGCCTACATCAGGATTTACTAAACTTGTATACTTTTACTTTGTTGAGAATCATAAAGTAGTAGTGAATTTATTAGATGGATATGCATAGAAGGGCATCGAAGAGATTTCGATTATTTAACAATCTCAGTCAAACACCAAAGTTCCATGGTGGGGAGTCGTAATAGATGCTGACAAACAATTTTTTATCTTGAACGAACGCGCGCACTGAGGCATTCAAGATTCGAGAATAGAAGTTTACGAAATTTAATTTAATAATTGCTTGTTCTTCATTTATTATCCTATGGTTGCTTCAAATCAATTCTCACGTAAATATTTATTTCTAAAACATATAACCACATGGATAGGAGTGCATTGAAGCACACATCAAGGGATTGCTTGGAACCCAATACACAGAATCATATGAAAACAAATTACAGCTCCCTAACACTTTGAAATTTCAAACATCTATAGTAAAACACACGCTTTCCTTGGGTTTCATCACCTCAAAGTCCAACATATGTATTTGCATTTCTTTTTTTAAGAGAAAATGAACTTATACTAAGTTTATACGAAAAGAATTTTATTTTTATTAGTGCTTGTTAGGAGATTTGAACTTGTATTAAAATAGTCACTTTTTTTTTTCTTCGCCTTGTATACCCATAATTAATAGGCAAAAAAAAAAGGGTGAAATCAAAGGGATTGCAAATTATAATGTCATTTTTCAAAAAAAAAAAAAGTTGATAGATTTCGGTGTATATATGTTTTAGAGGGTAACAGATCATATTCACATTCGGATCATATTATACCTAGATTAGGTGAAGAAATATAAAATACAAGCCATGTGGCATCACCAAAGCATAGAGAACACACCAATTGAGTGCTACTTGGAGTTTAAAAGAAGGTAGAAGCAAGGGATGGAGAAGACTGCGAAGGAAAGAAAGCTATGGCTATGAAGAACTTAAAGTGAAAACATTAATGAAAAGTTTTATGGTGGCAGATACACATTCAAGTAGTGCAATAAAAAGAGGCCTGCTTGTGTGGGTGGGTAGGTCTGGGTTTTTATAGTGCTTTCAAGTCTTTGTTTCTTCTCTCTCCCTTTCTCTGTCTTTGGTGCAACTCCAAAGCAACACAAAAATTAAACACTAAATATCACTCCTCTTCTTTGTCAACACACAAGTATCTGAATCCAATGTATGTAGGCAATGATGATCTCGATAGTGAATGTGTAAGAGAGGGGGCCTCTTAATTTGCAGGTTAATTAACCATCTTCACCAACCTTCCTCTTCACCATAAAGACCCTAAAGAGAGAGATAGAGATAAGTCATTTTCTATTATCTGCTCTGGTTTCTGCGGGGGTTTTGATGCAAGTGATATCCAAAGATAAAGTCAGATTTGTTATTGTGATAGCTATTCTGTTTTTTCTAGTAATGGTTTGTTAGTTCCCTCAGTTTCTATCTTTGTTTCATTCTTGGCACTGAAAGAAAGAAAGAAACATGGGTTTTCTAGTAAGGAAAAGAGGGCTTCTAGCTCCTCTCCTTCTAGCTCTTCTTCTTGTCCAAAGGTTTAGTGCTGTTGTATCAGCCCTAAATTACACAAGTTACAGGCAAGTCAGTAGCGTGAGACTTGAAAGGATTCAAAGGCACTTGGACAAGATTAACAAGCCTCCTGTCATGGCCATAGAGGTACTATTACAAACCCATCTTCTTAAATTTACAACAAATTTGTTCATGTTTTGATTTCATCTCATGTGGGGTTTCTTGTTTTGGTATGCTCACAGAGCCCAGATGGAGATATTATAGATTGTGTTCATAAGAGAAAACAGCCCGCTTTAGATCACCCTCTCTTAAGGAATCACAAGATCCAGGTAACTAACCTGAAAAAGCACCTCGATCCTTAATTCCCTTTCTTCCCCTATCCATCTAATAAATGAGTATCTCACATTTGCTAACCTTTTTCCTCTAACATTTATCATTTACAATCTTATTGTTTCCTACGCGAAAAAGCTGAAAGTTTTGGAGTTTCTAACCCTAAACATTGTTTGTGAAAAGGCATTTCTTGGCTCCATGTATTTTGTCATCTTTCCTTCTCTCCTAAAAAGAATTTACTATTTAATTAAGGATATAACTTTATTTTCTATCTCTAACATTTACTGTTAATTACTTTGATTTATGCTAACAACATCAACAACGATAGCATTAAGGATTATGATAAATGTGCTAATGCAATTAACAGAGAAATCCACCAGAAAGGCCTAGAGTGAAGATGTTGAAAGAGGAAGATAAAACGAAGAAGAGTAATGTCGAAGAAGGTGTGATAAGAGGTTCATGGCAAATGTGGCATAGGAATGGGACAAGGTGCCCTAAAGGAACCGTTCCGATACGGCGGAGCACGGTTCATGATGTGTTGAGATCCAAGTCTTTGTTCGACTTCGGCAAGAAAAAAGCACCAATCTCTCTTGCTAGTCGACGCAAAGATGCACCCGATGTAGTTAGCGCCAATGGACATGAGGTATCCCATCTCTTCCCACCCTTGAAAGAAATTGCTTTAATTTTGATTTTTTATAGTTACAAGACATAATTATCTCAATTTGTTGCGCACAAGCACATACAAAGGAAATATTTTCACTACGTAAGTAGGATGATCTTATGGTGCCCTTCCATCAAACCTTCTCCTGCATGGCTTAATGACAAACACAATTATGCTAGTTTGGCTTGAAAGTTTATGCATATTGAATGAACCAATTTCTAGCCATATGATGATGGAAGATGGTTTCCCTTCCAAGGGACCCACAAGATTTACCTTGAAGATGGTGCTGCTGCATTTATTTTCTAATCTGAACTTTGATCGATCCTTTTGTCTCTGCTGCTGCTGCATGTGCACCATGGCTCCCAGCATGCAATTGCCTACAGTGGATTCTCGCAAGAAGTGTATGGAGCGAAGGCAACAATTAACGTTTGGGACCCATCAATCCAAGTGGTCAACGAGTTTAGTCTATCCCAGATATGGGTGCTCTCGGGATCATTCGACGGCTCAGATCTCAACAGCATAGAAGCTGGGTGGCAGGTACTCCTTCCATTTCCTGTCCCTCGCAGCACACTATCCCACACTATAATATATCCCATGAAAATTAACAAGTGGAGTGCTATATATATTATATGTTTTATCAGTGGGATTTTTTGAATTTATGATTTATTCTACTAGTCAGGTCAGTCCGGAGCTTTATGGTGACAGCAGGCCTAGATTGTTCACGTACTGGACAGTAAGATTTCTAACACACTAATCCTCAATTAGCAATTAATTAATATTTTTTTGTTGTTATTATTAAATGAATATTCAAACATTATGGAATCATTCCTTGGAATAATTAACCATGTGCACGTCCCCTAAAACAATGAACAAAATTGGGTTCATAAACTTTAGAGTCAACCTCATCTTGAGCTGGAAAATCTGCTTTGAATCTGTAAGGTTTCCTCTTGGAAAATGTTTGCAAATATTATACACTAGTTGGATCAAAGTCTTCATCTGTCAGATTATTTAAAAAAAAAACAGGATAGCACTTAAAATTTAGCTTCCAAATGCTATTCTAGTTGGAAAGTGAGTGAGATTTTTTTTTAAAAAAAAGTAAAAGATAAGTGATATTTAATAGGATTTGATTTTTTTTTAAAAAAATATGATGATTATGTATGATATACTTTTTATAAAATAATAATCTTTCTAATAAAATAAAATTAATAATGAGATAAATACCAAATACTTTTGTTTGACAAATTACTTTTTAAATAATTTTTCATATTAAAATATATTATAAAAAAATTTAATTTTTTTTTTTTACATTAGTACATTAAAATTATTTGAAACACTAAAAACATATTAATTTAAATTTAATAAAAAATAAAAGAAATTTAAATTTTTTAAATAACATTTTTAAAACGTAGAAACAAGATTTATATATTAAAATAATATAGTTTTAGTGTTTTAATATTTATTCTTGATATTAATATATTAAACTGATTCAAAAAATTAAAAAAATAAAATGAATTTGAAATTAAAGTTTTTTAAAAAACGAGATTAACTGTAATATCAAACATGGCCATAATTGGAATCAACAACACATGATATGTTAAAAGAAAGAGAAGTACTACACACTCCGAGTTAGGCCTCGATAATAATGAAGCGACAGCAACCCTTTTTGCCTTTTTGGTGGACTTGACATCCTTCTAACTATTTCCTCAACAATAATCTACTCAAAAAACAACTTGCTATTCTAATTATTATGTTTTAAAAATCATTTTAATTTTTTTAATTTTTTTCTTTATAATAATTTTTATATATTTTTAAATTTTTTTCATTTTTTATATCAAAAATAATTTTTAAAAAATAAATAAATAAAGAATATTGTTTTAATACATTTTTAAATAAAAAAATTCTCCAAAAAAATAATCGCCACTGGCTCAAAAAATTTGTGGGGCTACAAAATAAGGTCATTAAATATGGGGTTGCAAGTAAGCTGTGCCCGTTAATGGATACGTACGATCAAGAACAGCTGGGAGGGAAAAAAAAATGTGGCTGTACATTAATTGTAGTAATGGTATAATTGAGACTTTTCTTCGAGAATTAATGATTTCAAGGCTGTGCAATTAATATTGGTGTTTGTCAGAATGTAGTTGAAGATATTTTCTGATTGGATATGATATTTACTCTTCTTCATTGCATTTTACAGAGTGATTCATACCAAGCAACAGGATGCTACAACCTTCTCTGCGCAGGATTTGTGCAAACGAATAGCAGAGTAGCCATTGGAGCTGCCATTTCTCCCGTATCATTGTATGCAGGAAACCAATATGATATTAGCATCCTCATTTGGAAGGTATAAAAGCATATTCATATATTATTTTTAAATCATTGAAATAATAAAACTAGAACCTGATATTTATAACTTATTGCACAGACTTGATTTCTAAGTAGCTTTTTTTTTTTTTTTTTCCGAGAATAGGACCCGAAGCTAGGTAATTGGTGGATGAGTTTTGGTGACAACACCCTCGTAGGATACTGGCCAGCAGAGCTTTTTACACACCTAGCAGACCATGCCACCATGGTGGAGTGGGGTGGCGAAGTGGTGAACTCAAGGGCTAACGGCGAGCACACATCGACCCAGATGGGCTCCGGCCACTTTGCAGAAGATGGGTTCGGAAAAGCAAGTTATTTTCGGAACCTAGAGATCGTGGACTCTGATAACAGCCTCACCGCAGTCCAGAGTATCTCAACGTTAGCTGAAAACACCAATTGTTACAACATCAAGAGCTCTTACAGCAATGAATGGGGCACGCATTTCTACTATGGAGGCCCTGGGAGCAATCCACTGTGCCCATGATTGTCATCGTCTTCTTGAATTGAAAATATATTTCTCTAGGCTCACGTAAATCTCTCGTCCTGTCAAATTCTTTGAATATGTAAGTATGGTTGTGCTATTTCCGTTTTTGTTTCTGCTATATCTCCTATGTTTTTGTTTGTCTTGTGAGGAGGGAAGGCGTGTAGTCGTCGAATAGGCAGAAGTTTATAGCATAAACAGGCACGGAAATAGCAGTATTTTGGCTGGCTAGGTATCTCTCATGTCAATCTTTAGTCTTCTTGTATGAAATTGAAAACAGTGTACTATCATTTTTTGTGGGTTCAATAGCTAAAGGTAACGTTTGTTCTTCCAACTCAATTTATCTCAGCCCCGGCGGCCGGCCACCTCGTTTTGCCTAAAAATATTGAGGCTTTATTTAGATAGTATTTGATATTATAATAATGGATGTTTTGTGAAATATTTTTTTTATTTAAAAATATATTAAATTACTATTTTTTATCTTTTAAAATTCATTTTTAATATTAACAAATCAAACAATCTAAAAATATCTAAATTTTTTTTTTTCAAAAATACAATTTGATTACAAAAACGAACACCATCAACAAGGACAGTTCCACAGCTGAGTTTCACTTGAATTGTATTAGTCAAATTTAATAAGAGTACAGCTCATTGCTTACCTTAACCACCTTGATTGACTAGATTTTCGTATCAGCATAAATGTTCAATGAGTTCCTACGCAGAATTAATTTGTTTGATAAGAGAAAGCTCTTTGTTAGTAATTCCATCAAGGAGAAGAAATAAATTAAATAATTAAATACAAATGTTTTTTTTTACTTATTTTTTCTTTCCATTTTTTATTACATAAAAAATATTAAAGTTATAAAAAAAGAGATGAAACACAGACAAAAGGTTGAACACAAGAAACGAGACCTCCATTGGCACAAGAATTTCCGCCTGGATGAAACTGTCAAATCTCTTGCGTAGAGGCTCTAGCTAAGGTCTAACTCTGCAGATGGATAACGTTCAAAAGTGCAGTGGAATTTCATGTATGCAAAGCAACAAGGCTCAAAGATAAATTTCAAATCCTTAGTACAAGTGTGTTTCGTGGTATGATTCATGGCAGCTAGCAAATATATATTCAAGAAGCACGTAATTTCTGAATGTGTAGATGTTACAGATTAAGGTGGAGTGAATGGAGCTTCCTCTACATTTAGAAACTTTACTTTTCCATCTTCCACATATGAAGACCATGTACACAAACAAGTCAAATGTCTTATGAAAAAATAATTCACGATCAAAACACAGATAAGTGGAGTCTTGGATGGATGGAAGATAACATGTATATAAACGGCTGAAACGGACACAAAAATGTGATATCGTGCAAAGGGATTTTCAACCTTATGATAGCGACAATCACCCTCTTTTCCAAGTGTTTTTAGAGAGAGAAAAAAGGTTGAAAACATGTTTGAGATGTTAAGGAGCAGCCATCTAATATTATGTTCTAGCAACATGAAGTATCGACAATGACGCCACCTGCGAGGTAAACAAATTCCAATATTTGTAAATAACCTTAGAAATTAAAAAATAATCACAGGTTTAGCTCTAAAATACTTTACCATTAGGATGCAGAACTTAACCAGTTAGGTATGAGGAACAATCATCAGATGTCAGGAAGACAAAAGAGGGTGCAATCTCATATGGCTGTCCTGCCCTGCCCATAGGAATCCCAGACCCAAAGCTTTGAACCTTCTAAACAGGCAAAGAAGCCGGTTGCAATGGCGTCCAAAGTGGACCTGGGGCCCCAGCATTTACTCCAATCCCTTCGTTTATAAGCTTCAGAGCCACAGCTCTTGTAATAGATACAATGGCACTCTTATTAGAGCTATAATCAAGCAACCCTGCACTCACTCCATGGTCGTTTTGATAATACAGCTTCCTTCTTTCATGTGCTTCAAACAATCCCTGCATACCAATTGGGAATAAGATCAAAAGAATTAAGATTTCTTGACTGGTTAATTACTCTCAAATACCTGCATCTTCATTGTTAGAACTTCCTCTCTGGATGGAAGAATTACTCAAAGCAGTTTTTCTTACTTGGTCCAGAAGAAGTGACCAAAAATGTTGGTTCAAAACAGCCTCTCAAGCCAAGCCTCGGTAACCTTTACCATTGTTGTATAATGTTGCACGACTGTGCTGTTCACCAGAATATCTAATCTGCCCGTATTTGCTCATAACTTGATCAACAACTCTCTTGTAAATTATCTTCATTGCTAACATCAGTAGCTATGGCAATAGGTCTTTTGCATCACTTGTCTTTGCCTTCAGTATCATCTTCAGGGCATCATTCTTATTTCAATCCTCTATGCTTTCTACATATGTAAACGCCACAGTTGCACCCTCTAATGCAAAATTATAGCATACAAATTTTCCTATTATGGAATCACTTCCTGTTATCAGAGCAACCTTTCCCTGCCAAAAAATTGAGATATATAGAGGTCTTAATTTGTTGTTTGTTGGAAAAAAGATAAATGGATTAAAAGCCAATGACGAATAAAATGAAAAAGGAGAAGAAAAATGGCGCACATAAAGTTTGTTTGAAGGGTTGATGCAATCAGGGTATATGTGTTGTGGAAGTCAGTGCATGAGATATTCTTTGCCTGTCTGTTGTCATTGAGTCTGTGATGAAAACTGAAACTGCTCCTCCTTAGTTGTCATCCTTTGCCACTGTCATTGGATACTTGTTCTAGTCTAAAAAGTGTTAAGCCTAAGGTGGGAAAACAGATAACAGTACAGGGAAATGTGAGAAACTTCAGTCTTGAAACAGAGGCTGCAAACTTTGTGCGGCCAACATCCAAGTACCAGCAGCCTTGGGAGATAAAAATTAGGAGACATCACTATAAATGACAGCTTCCATTAGACTCTGTTATCTGATCCATTGAGAATAATGATTTGACTCTGGTGAGCAACAGGAAAATTGTGCTTAAAGACTATTTTGATACTTTAACAACAAAGCTTGTTCGAAATGGTTCAAGTACAGTATAAGTAAAAAGTTATTGACTTATTTCTGTATAGCAGAACCTCCAACATATTTATATTGCATAAGCTGCAATACATGCAGTTCCATAAATCTCAAATGTATGTAAAAATGGAAGTAGGCGACAACATGAATTAAAATCACAGGAACACAACTCAACATGCATCAAAATGTACTTCCCAGAGCAAGTTCATCAAAGAAATCAAGGGAACCTTGCAACAGCATAAGCGAGCAAAAAAGAAAAGGAGTCAATAGTATTTACGTGAACACAATAGAAAAACAATTTCTAAATTCAGATTGGCAAAATTTAAAACAATCTAACCAGAGCATTTTATGCAACGGGGACAAGGGTGTTAGGGACAGGGGAGAGTGTTTTCATGAGTTGTGTCCTTTCGCTTTCTGCATTGTGCATCGTTCAGTTCATGTTTCATAGAATCAATTGACCGAAAACAGACGAAGTCCATCAAAACTTGAGTGTATGTTCGATAAGCAGGGAATAAAATGAACCACACACATCATATGCATGGAATATGTAGCGGGCGTGTAACAATACTGAATCATAAATCAACATTCAGAGAACATCAGACCGCATAATTGTGTAAGCCTATCAATGCAATTATGCAGCTAACATTGTTTATCTTGTCTTTAGTTTAGAAAACAGAACTGCACAAGTGGCCCAAATTAGTGTTTCCAAGTTGCACCCATAGATTTTCAAAATTCTTTTTTTTTCCCTTCTTGTAAACTCTTCAGCAAAGATGTATGAAACCATTGAAATTAGAACATTTCTTTAAATAAAGTAGACCAAACTTCATACAAATATTTATCACAACTCCTCAAATGCTAAATAAACAAAAAAAATCGAAAAGTTTCCCAAACAATATCTTTCCCTGTGGTTCAATTACCAAAAAGATTCCAGTCATTAACTTTGAAATTAGAAACAGCAAGCTTAAAAACCTCAGCCATTGGCAAGAACCCAGATTGCGCAGCCGGGGCGGGTAAACCAGCACCAACAGTCGCAGCACTTTCACTCAAAGGACTTATCAAAATGGGTTCATAGGCAACAACGAGAACATCAGTGCCAACATTCTTAAGTCGAAGATTGGCCAAATAAACCTGCACGACATTCTGGGCTTCCCTTCCTTGTCGCACTTTAGAAATCCCCATCTGCCCAATTGCTGTTGTAACAACAACTGAAACATTCCCAATTGGAACCTCAACCACGCCTGACTGCTCAACTAGAGTAAACCCTTGAGCGTCTTGCTCATTCGCAAGGTCTTGAAGAAACCAAACGGCACTTCCATTATCACTCACATCAGGCTTCAAATCTAAGAGCTCGAAAATCAAGCTTTCATCACGACTTGGATCCACAAATGCCTCTTGATGATCAGGAACTTGTCGAATGTTGCTCACATCCTACAAAAACAAAAACATTTACATTTTTGACAGAGAAACGAATATATATATATATATAAGAAACTGACCTGGAATCTGACGGGGAAGGTGCTGGAAATTGAGCCGCCGTAGAGAGGGCGGTCGGTGCAAATATCCTCCGTCATTCTTTTTATGATTAACTGATCCTGAGGATGGGACCAGAACAGTTGCGAAACATCACGATTTGTGTTTGGTTTTATATAGGGAGTCTCTGCTTTATTTATAAGCTACAACGATTTTCTGAGATTATTTTTATTTTTTTGAAATTATAAAATAGCATATATTTAAAACTTAAGGCAGCAAGTACGTCACCTCTGCTTTATTAATTAATTATTAAGTAAAACACTAAAAGGCGACGAATTTTTCCTTGTAGAGAAAACTTACTCTTTTTTTCAATTTGGGTATCAACCTTTTATTTTGGTCATTTTCTCCCAATTAAAGATTAATTGTTTTTTATTTCTTAATTAAGAATAGAATTACAAAAATAAGGATGAAGATTAAAAATGTGCCAAGCATGGGTGACATGTCCAGAGTTTACATGCAAAATACATTTAGTTTCTCCATTTTTAAAAATAACTCAATTTATATAATTTATGTTTCTTTAAATTTCAAAATTTTAATTTTGATATAAATATTTATTTTGATATAAAAATTTATTTTTATTATTTTATAGTTCTTAATTAAAGAGATAATAAAGAGATTGATGGAGTCTGGCAATCAAAGAAAAAAATCATTATTCATGTCATTTCTAAATACCAAAATAATTTTCCTTAATGCTCAAAAGTTATATGCAATATAAAGAATTTAATGCTAGTTATTTAGAGTCTTAATGTTACTTGAAAAACAAATCTAAATTGAGGAAGAAAAATATGACTTGGTCTGATTTTGAATTTTTAGACTTTTTTTTGCATCTTTTTAGTTAATGAATTAGTTTATACATATTTTAAAAGTGTTGGTAAGGTATTTTTAAATTAAAATAATTTAAAAATTAGGTTTTTCAAATAAGAAAATCACTAGCTTAATTTTTCAGCTATTATCATGTTGTTTAAAATATTTAACTTGGCATGCAATGCATGTCTTTTTTTTTCCCCAAAAAAATACACCATTCACTCTTTTAAAAGATTAAAATCAAGCCCCCATGCATGGGTTAGGCTTAAAGACTCACATTCCCAGGCTCTTCCTTAAATGACTTGGGGGCACTGGGCTATAAGTATGCATCTTTAGATTTTTTTTTTTAATGTTTTAATTTTATATTAAAATTAAATTAAAAATTTTTTATTTAATCATTCAAATGGTTTTTTAAAATAATTTATAATATTAGAATTCTTTTTTATTTTGTCATCCTTTAATGTTTTAATCTTTTAAATTTAATTTTTATTATTTTAATTGTTATTTGTTTTATTTAAGATAATTTTTTAAATTTAATTTTGTTTGTTTGTTTTCTCTAAGATTTTTCATTGATGACTCGGGTTTCTCTAATTTTTTTAATTGTTGCTCTTTGCTGGATTTATTTTAGTTAATTAATATTAAATTGATTGGTAATTGATGTTTTTATTTCGATCCGAGTTTAGAATTTAATGAGTTGTAAGTGTGAGATTTTTATTTAGGTTTAAAAGGTTCACCCCAAGTTTTTTTTAACTTTTTTTTTATATTGATATTTTTTTAATTTTATCATTTAATATTTATATTATTAATGATTAAGCTTTTTTATGCTTTTTATATAGTTTTTTAACTATTTTTTATTTTTTTTGTTGGTTCCCATGTTTTTTTTCCTATTAGTCTATATATAGCTTTTTTTTCCTTGTTAAAATCTATAATCTAAATCATATTTTTGTTTAAAGCATAATTTTATTGCATGTTTTTTTTTTCATAAAAAAAATATTATAGCCCACAACGTGGCGCAAGCGCACAAATCTAAATCTAAGTTATAAGCTAAACGGTTTGTTAGTTTGTTAGTGTGAAAAATTCTTAATTCTGAGTAATCAAAAGCTTTTTATCTCAATATTGGTGTTCTTTAAAGTTTCAAGAATCTTAATCATACCCCCTTATTAAATTAACTAGGTTTTGGTGGCAAAACAAGCTCAGGGCTACAAGTAATTTCTTGATTTCATGTTTTTGATCATATCGGGCCGGAAGTCAAGCACTAAGCAATCATTCTGATCGCTAATACTCATCACCACTATTAATGCTCTAATCACTCTCGATGGCTTCCACACAGCGTTGGACACCACTTTTACTAAAAAACGAGAAGGAATGGATTTTAGATTTGATCAAATTTATTATTTCTAAAATATGTGGATTCTCCGCTCACACTCGGAGCTCAACAGCGGCCACTGATGCAAACTGGTAGCATGTACAGATCTTCCTATCCCAGAATCAACTCCAGTCACTGGACCTACCTTTCCCTGCCATGAGTCACCAAGACTGCTTCCCATGAATGAATTAGAACAAATTAAGTTAATCAAGAGTTATGTAGCTGCATCACAGCATGAAGATTGCCCTATATGTGAACTAATAGTGTAAGAAAATACGCGCATGAGGCTTCTTCGAAGGCTTGTATATAATGCATGGCATTTTCCTTGCCCGGCCGCTATTTGTGCTGGAAATTTGATCTCCTCGCTACTGGGTGCCATCCTATACCCAGTGAAGCCACTTAAAGGAGACTTCAGAAACGTTTAATTCGCTTGTGTGAAGAACAAGTAAGATTTTATAATCAATTTTGATATACCAGCATTTGTACTCAAAATAAGTTGGTGATTGGCGTCTTATAAATTGACAAGTGTGAGGTTCAATGATGGTTTTTTTCCAGGACCGTTGGTCATGAAACATGGATATTCCTGATACGAGCTGAATCAGGAGCCATTTACGTAATTCTGAGCATCCATCATGCTGCAACGAGACCAGTGAACTCGACTTGATTGCAAGCGGTCTGATGAAAATCTGAAGTTGAAAAGCATTTTAAACGTACTGAGACTGTCATCAAAGATTGATAGCATATATAATTGAACAAATGAGTTAAATTTCATTATTAGAAAACATCAGATATCCATGTGTTCTTTCTGGAATCAGAGGATTTCAAAGGATTCAAGATGAAAAAGATTAAAACAACAGGGATATTCATCTCCATTAAGCGAATAGGAGGTGATGGGTCAAGGATTTATGCCAGCAACCCAAGCGTAAAAGACGAGGCACAATCCAAACTCCAAGGTGCAGAGCATGGGCCTAGCTCAAGCTTGAAAGTTGATGGGCTACCAAACCCGGATGCAATTTATCTCCTTTTGGATTCAATATATATATATATATATATTATTTTGAAATATATCAAAATAATATATTTTTTATTTTTTAAAATTTATTTTTATAATAGTATATCAAAACAATTCAAAAATATTAAAAAAATAATTTGAGGCAAAAACAATTCAAACTCTTTTAAAAGCATGAATGAACCACAAAAACAAATATCTTTTATATTACTCAATAAAACATTGAACCTAATGGAGTGACAAGATTTTCCAAAAACATAATAGGTATGAGGCCATTTGAAATTTGTTTCTTTTTTTTTTAAATCTATTTTAAAAGAAATTAAATGTTGAAGAATCTTATTTGATAATGAAATAAAAATTAAATGAGAAGATGATAATTTCATAAAAAATAAAAATCACTTTCTAATAAATAAAATATTAAAATACAATTAAATAAAAAAATAATTCAAAAAAGGTAAAAAAAAACTCAATCCTAGTCCACGTGAATCAACATATAAAATCTACGACTTAATTGTGATAATAGGATAATTCTGTCAAAAGCAAATTAAATAAAATTATAAAGCTTTATTATCAAATATCTCAATATTAAAGAATAAAATTAAAAAATTATATATATATATATATATTTAAAAAGATTGGAGTTAATCCAATAACCCACGACCATGGTTAGAGAATTGGGATAACATCATATAGAAATAAAAAAAAAATATCAGAAGGTTTTTATATCTTGCAAGAAGAAAAATAGAAAGATGGCAGGGAAACAAAAATTCTACCAACGCTCAACCACTATGTCATTGTGTACATATCTAACCACTAGAAGCTAGAAGATCATGTTGAGATGCTTAAAAAATTACAGTTAAAAATGGTGTTTGGTCAAGAGACGATGTCTCACTCGCTACTCGAAAAGTACAAGCTTTACTTATTTATTGGCATGTATTGGCATGTATGACCACTTTTGTTTTTAAATTTTACTTTATATTTATGAAAAGATCAAATTATTTCTTTATCTATCTAATAATAACTATAAAATCATGGTAAAAACACAAAAAAAAAAAACTTATGAGCATCAATTTTAAAAATTTTATTTTTAAAAGTTATTTAGTTATTATGATGTACTTTAAAAATATAAAAAATCAAATTATTCTGATTAATTTGATAATTATTAAAAACCATCTTAAAAAATATCTTACCCCCAACAAATACTGTATTGATTTTTCTTGAAAGAATAAAATAGGTAATATGCTGTTTGAATTCAGGGGTGTGTCTTAGTGCTAACACCTATTTGTTTCTTCTTTTTTTTTAAAAAAAAAAAAGAAAGAAAATAATGACAACTATTCTTCAAAGTGAATGGAGGGCCATTCTTATTTTCAAATGAATAAAAATCTTCAGTCTTCTGAAACATTATGGTAGCAATCATTCAATGATGGAAGAAAAATCATCAACTTGTAGGACCATGATGTCAAACGTCCATAAACATGCACATCTGATTTATCTCCTCAGAAAATTTTCAAAGTTAAAAGCAAATAATTGGCCTATCAATTCTGTCCTGCTTCAAGAACTTTTGGTTATAAATACAATCACGTAGGATACATTCTAACACACCATCAACACATCCCTCTTTACAAACTTTGCTAATGGCTTGTGCAATCTTCATTCTCCTCGTCACCATTTTCTCTTTCTTAAGCTCCAACTATGTTGCTTATGCGCAAAATGATACCCTCAAACGAGGCCAGCAGCTCCGGGACTATGAGCAGCTAATTTCTGCTGGAGGGGTCTTCAGGTTGGGATTCTTTAGCCCCAACCCGAATGTAGGCTTGATCGGTACTGCTGGTGCAAGGTACCTGGGAATATGGTTTGAACAGATACCATTTTATTCAGTATGGGTGGCCAACCGAGACATCCCAGTCCCTGATTCCTCTGGTGTGTTAACCATAGGTGGTGATGGAAAATTGAAGATCACATACCGAGGAGGCCCACCAATAGTTATAAACTCAAATGTTGAATCAGCAAAAAATTTAAGTGGCAATATTACTGCCACCCTCCTTGATTCCGGAAACCTTGTCGTGCGAAAGGTTGATTGTGATGGCACTCCAGGAACTGTTTTGTGGCAGAGTTTTGATTATCCACACAACATTTTACTGCCTGGCATGAAACTAGGTATGAATCACAAGACTGGAAAGAACTGGACACTTACTTCATGGTTGAGTGAAAAAGTTCCTGCTCCTGGTGCATTCAGGCTAGGCCTGGATCCAAGTGGCGCTAATCAGTTACTTGTTTGGCGGCGAGATGAGGTTTACTGGTCAAGTGGTGTGTGGCAGAACGGAAGTTTTCAATCAGCACCTGAGCTAACTCAATTGACAAAAGGATACAATATATATGATTTCAAATTTGTGGCAAATGAGGAGGAAACGTATTTCTCCTATTCTATTAAGGAGAGGTCTATTTTATCTAGGTTGGACTTGGACACTTTGGGTGAAGTTACACTGTTGACTGTGGACAGACGAGATGGTAATAGTCGCTGGATATTTGAAACTTCTGGTGCATGCCATTATGGTTTCAAGAATTCAACTTCAGTTTGCCTTACTGAAAAGCCAACTAAGTGCAGGAATGGCACTCAATCTTTTGTGCCGAAGAGAGGGTATATCAATGTGTCAGAGATATGGTATGATACTGACACAAACTTATCTCTCAGTGATTGTCACGCCCGATGCTGGAAAAATTGCACCTGTTCTGCATATCAGGCTTTGAGTCCCAGTGATGGCATTGGTTGCCATTTTTGGAGCAACGCATCAAGCTTCATCCCTCGTGACGACTTCGAGTTTGTTTACCTTCTTACTAATGAAAGCAACGAAGAAGGTATCCCAGTTTAAGGGATTATAATTGTGGACAAGAGGGAAAAAGATACACAGAAATAAAGGAGGCTGTTGAGACTTACAAGGATTTCACAAAATGACCCCTCTCAACATTGAGTACTTCATATACAGAATGGTTTTTCATTTCCAATCCCGTTTTTGTTTTTCTTGGTTTCTATATATATATATATATATAGAAGTAACGTCTCTTGATCATCGAATGTGTTCAAAGAGATGAAGATTAATATATGTACTGTCCACAACTGATAATGAGATGGTGATGGAAATTCTCTAGATTAATATAGTAGTAATGTCTCTTGATCTAGCTATTTTTCGTTGTGAGAAACATTTTCCAATGAACTGATTTTCTTTCTCGGTTATCATAATATTTGTATGTGGCTCTTTGAGACCATCAAGAACATCTATGATTCTTTATTCTACGGTATTTTACCATTGCAATTTAAGAAATGCTGGAATCAATTATGTAACTGCTTTAATAGAATCATCTAAAGCACAGTTTGGGGGGGAAAAGCACGCAAAAAGGGATGTAGAATGCCTTTGGTAGGCTTTATAGGATGGGAAGAGACCAAACTAGATAAGACACGACATCGTAACACTAAGAAGAAATTTATAACAGCTCTTGATAATACGTGTATCACCTAGGTTTGAAAATCCCACCCATATCCTTTCTTTTTTTCTTCTTCTTTCATCTCCTGTATTTTAAGTTCATCCTCCTCTAATAAACTAGCCTAAATTAACCTTAAATTTGGTCAAATAATAGCTAAATAAAAAGAAAAGAAATAGTATGGCATGGGAGAAAAAACTATGAACAGTAAATACACAATGCATTTTACCTGATAAATCCCTCACGCTTTTTAGATTTACTTAAAGTAATTCATGTACTGTTGGATATATGATCAAAGTCCCATATTGGCTAAAAATAAAGAGGATCATGAATATATAAGGATGAACAAATATCTTTATTGGTGTGGGATCTTTTAGGTATAGCCCAAGAGTAAATCCATGAGGACTTAGGTTTAAAGTGAACAATATCAAACTAATGTGGTGATAGGTGATATCTATAGTCCTTACAAGTGACTAAAAATAAAATAGAAAGAGATAGAGAATGAAGAATAGTTGATAGAGAATGAATGGATAAATGATCGTTTAAGAAGAGAGACTCGATAATTCTTTGTTTGAGAGAAGAATTATTGAGTATATGATTAAAGTCTCATATTAACTAAAAATAAAAAGGATTATAAATATATAAAGATGGACACATATTTTTATTGATGTAACATCTTCTAGGTATAATTTAAGAGTAAATCTATAATAATCATGAATATATAAGGATGAACAAATATTTTCATTTGTGTGGGACCTTTTAGGTATAGCCCAAGAGTAAATCCATGAGGACTTAGACTTAAAGTGGACAATATTAGACTAATGTGGTGATAGGTGATATCCATAGTTCTTACAAGTGGCTAAAAATGAAATAGAAAGAGGTAAAGAATGAAGAATAGTTGGTAGAGAATGGATGGATAAATAATCGTTTAAGGAGAGAGATTCGATGATCCTTTCTTTGAGGGAAGAATTGTTGGGTATATGATTAAAGTCTCATATTGACTAAAAATAAAAATAAAAAGAATTATAAATATATGAAGATGAACAAATATTTTTATTGATGTAACATCTGGTAGGTATAATTCAAGAGTAAATCTATAAAGATTTAAAGTGAACAGTATCATTCTCACGGTATTCATAGTAATTACATGTACTTGCATACCAAAGGCTTCCTTTTCATTCATAATTCAAAGCCATTGGCTCTTCATCTACTTGCAAGGAGTGACACATTTGAAAAGATGGCTTTGAGGACCACAGTGTCTCCTGGCCTGCAGACTCTGACTGATATCTTTTACCCACTTATGATTTAAGACATTTCAGACAAGAATTATAGACATAGGCCGGCAAGATTGACTTGAGGCAACCAGTCAAAGAATCCAGAATCATAGCAGAGTTAAATTAGATTGCTAATGAGCTGTGGTTTAATCAGCATCTGTCTCTCTCGTCTCCTCTTCGAAAGGTTTCAAATTCAATTTTCTCAATAACAAAAACGATAAGGTGAAAGATTGTCAGAAAGTGCATGTTTGTCTTTATTTTTCTTCCCAGATTTTGGTAGCAATTACTTAGCTAAGCGTAGCTTTCATTTGGACAGGTGAAAGGGATTCATGGCAGCGTCTGATACATTCGCAGATGCCAGAACAGTTCAAATTTGGGGTGGATGTTAACGGCATTTTTTTTGTATTTTTTTATATTTTTATTTTTAATAATTATATTAATGTTGTTATATGATTTTTTTCTCCATGTGAGACTAATATTGTTGTTTTATTTTTTTATGTTATATATTTGTTATAAAAAAATTTAATTGATTTTTTTTTCAATAATTCAATTCTGAGTATTATGAAACGTTGTTTTATATCAATTTAATTATTTTTTAGTTTTATAAATAAATTTTTATAAAAATAATTTTAAATATATATAATAATTTTCTCAAAAGAGATACAATGAAATGAATGAAATGAGGTGAGATTTTTTTTGCATTTATCTTTTGTTCATAAAACCATCGGTTTTTATTTTTTTTATTGGCAAAAGTAGCAATAGATAATTAAATTACCAACTGATATTATTTTGTCAACAAATATATTTTATTAGTGAATTAATCGATAAAATTTTTATTAATAAAATGGTAATCTCACACCGACAGTTAAATTCAGTCACTCAAAACTGTTAAATGTTGTTATAGTTGTAACAGGCGTGGCTCAGCCTTGTCCTCAAGAACGCATGGAGGTTAGAACTGCAGCCATCAATCAACATACCACGCGAATGCACACAGAATCTGACAATCAAGGCACAGATCATCCTCTTGAGGGCTACAGGTCAAGCATTTGGCATAAAATCAAGCAACACAACTGGTGAAGCTGTGGTTGCACTAAATATTTAACAGAAGAATTAAAATGTACTGATACCTACCCTGATCTCATGAAAGTCTGCATTCTTGTGTCCTTCGGCCGAAAGCTTTTAAAAATATACGCAGAATGGTCAAGTCATAGACACGGGTATATTATTCAAGTTGCAGAAGATTCAAACTGGGGCATGCTAATTAATCCATTGTTTCAACTTCCAACTTGCTGTAGGACTGATCTCCATTGTTCAAACTGGGGCATGCTAATTCCATTGTTCCAACTTCCAACTTGCTGTGGGACTTATCTCCATTGTTCAAACTGGGGCATTCTTCAGTCTCCTCGATCCTGCGTAATTATATAGTCTTGTGTTGTGAGAAGACCAATAAAAGTTCAACTCAATCAGACTACAAATAACTCATGTCAAAGTATTTGATTAATAAAACTAGAAAATCGCTGTTTTGGAAAGGTATCTCTCTTTTTATCTCTCTTTGAATAAAAAATAAAATAGGGTTTAAAAAACCCTAACAAAGTGAACTAAATTAAACGGTTTAATGATCTTACATGGATCAAGCTAAATATAAATACGTAATCCTTTCAATAGAAGGGAAACCCAACCCAATACAAGGTTGGCTCTCAGTGATTGTCACGCTTGATGCTGGAAGAATTGTAGCTGTGTTGCTTAGCAGGTTTTCTTTGCCAGTGACGACACTGGTTTCCAGTTCTGGAGGACGAAGATAAGCTTGAACCCTAGTGACGTCTTGGAGTTTGTTTACCTTCCTAGCCACCTCTTCTTCTTCTTCTTCTTCTGTCATAATCAGAGCCTAAAGGCCCTAAAAAAATTACATTGAATGATCTAATGCAAACCCAATTAGATCAATACAAACTCATAGGAAGATTGTCTGGGTATTGAGTTCATCCTATCAAAAGTGTCTTTTATCAAATCAAAGTTAGCTAACTAGTCAGCTATTGAATATCCTTCCTTATAACCAGCGAGCTAACTTGTTTTTCCAGCAGCACCTCATGGTTGGATTCATCATAAATAAGATGACGCATCATTAGCTACATTTAAAAAAAAATAAAATAGTCATCCACCCATATAAGAAAAAAAAAATTAAAGAATTTGGGCTGAAAAGCCCACGTGTTTGGGCCAACGCATCATTAGCTACATTTAAAAAAAAAAAAATAGTCATCCACCCATTTAAGAAAAAAAAATTTAAAGAATTTGGGCTGAAAAGCCCACATGTTTGGGCTAATTTTTTAATATCTATGCAAATTGAGCAACCCACATATTACGGCTCCTTTTAGTTTAGTTTTTAAAATTTTCTATCTTATATTTGGGTTATAAAAAATGATAAAAATAATAATTATTTAACTAATTAAGTTTATAAGTTATGTCATAAATTTAATATTTTAACCTATATTATTATTATTATCATTATTATTTTAATGTATTTTATATTCCTTAATTTTTTTAAGAAATATATTTTTATTTTTTGTTATTAATTTTATTAATTTAAACCTACAAAAATATAATTTTTGTTATGTTTGACTACGCATGTTTATTATAATTTTTTTTTGCTTGTGATAAAATTTATATAAAAAAATTACCATGCATTTTATTATCTTATAATTAAATAAAAAATAATCTTTAAAATAAAAATTATTATTAAATTTAATGATGTGCATTGTAAATTTACGAGTTGAATTCATTTAGTTTATTTTTAGAAAAAAAATAAATGTTTTTTATACTAATTTAGTCCTTCAATATTAAATTAATTCAAGATTAAGTTTTCTAATTTACTTTTTTCTTCTAGATTATCTCCATAAATTTCACGAATCAACTCTAGTAGATCAATATTTAGTCCTTCAATATTAAATTAATTCAGGATTAAGTTTTTTAATTTACTTTTTTCTTCTAGATTATCTTGATAAATTTCACGAATCAACTCTGATAGATCAATTTTTTTTTGTTCATTTCAATATTAAATAAAAATATCATTTTATCATTTAAAAAAATCATATTTCCAATACTTAAATAATTTTTTAGACTTGAGTTTTTTTTTCTTTTCTAACTCACTAAATAACATAAACCAATGAGCTAATTCCCTATAATCTAAATGATATGATGTTTTTATTGTGTGTTGACTCCATTGTTTATTATCTTACATTTTATTATGATTGAAATGTGCAAAATTTTATAATTTTTCAATTTGATTCCCAAATCTTTTTGGGGCAATTTAGTTTTAATTAGATGTTATGTTCGCGCGATGTTGTGAGCTTGCAACATGCTTGTGTGTTATCGTGGATTTGTAGAAAAAATCATATGAAGAAAACTTGTTGCAATCCACAATATTTTCAAGAAAATACTATAAAACTAAATTCTCAGCCATTTTAATATTAAAAAAATTATAAAAAAACACAAAAAATAAAAAAAGACAATTTTGAAGGAAAAAAATAATTGAAAAAACATGTGGAGAAAATTAAAGCTAAATTCTCAATTAGCACAGTGTTAAAATCATTTAGAAATATACCGTAGCAATCTATTGTGAGAAAAAATACAATTGTAATTATCAACTAGTTTAATATTAAAAAAAATAAAATCAAGAAAGATAATTTTGAAAAATATTAAAAAATAAATGGAAAAAAACATATAGTAAACACTATAGCAATTTATAGTGTTTCATGAGAAAATCTATAATTGTAATTTTTAACCAGCTTGATATTAAAAACAATAAAATTAATAAAGATAATTTTAAAAAAATCATAACAAAAAAAATTATGTGGAAAAATATTATAGCAATTAACAGTGTTTTAAAGAAAAAACTACAAAACTAAATTAAATTCGATAAACATGATTTTGAAAAAAAAATTGATAAAAAAACATGTGAAAAGACACTATAGTAACACAAAAATCATATAGGAAAATATTGTAGTAATCTACGGTGTTTTAAAGAACTAAAAAGCTAAATTCTAATCCTTAATAGAAAAAAATAAAATTAATAAATGTAATTATATAAAAAATTATTTCAAAAAATCATGTGGAGAAACACTGTAGTAATCCATAGTATTTTAAAGAAAAAAACTAAATTCTCAACTAGCACAATAATAATTAAAAAAAAAAAGATCAACAAAAATGTTATGATAAAACAAAACAAAATAAATAAATAAAATAAAAAAAACCTATGCGGGAAAAGTTAAAACTAAATCCTCACCCAGTTTAATATTAAAAAAATAAATTCAACAAAGATAATTAAAAAAATAAAAAAACACTAAAGCAAAACAAAAACTATGTAGGGGAAATACTGTAACAATATATAATATTTTTTTTAAGTTACAAATTTAAATTTTTAACCAATTCAATATGAAAACAAATAAAATTGATCCATTTTGAAAAAACAGAGAAAAAAATCATAAAAAAAACCAAGTTTATAGCAATCTCCAATGTTTTTTTTATATATAAAAAAAATACATAACTAAATTTTCAAATAGTTTAATATTTTAAAAAATTAAAAAATATAATTTTGAAAAAAAATAAAAATTAAAAAAATAGACAAAGAAGAAGAATAAGAAGTTAATTTTCAGTAAAAAAAAATAATGTAAAAATAAAAAGAGAAAAAAATGAGAAAAAAAAACATATGAAGAAAAATATAGTGTTTGCCCACATATTTAAAAGTATTAATTAATTAAAAAATAATTGATTTAAAATATTTATGAAAAGATAAAATTTAAATAGGAAAGACTAAAATGAAATACATAATAAATATGAGTGGTATATTATAAGTTTTAAAAAAGATGTATTTTGATTTTTTAATTTAAAAAATCATTTAAATTATATAATGTTGATCCCTTAAAAAAAATTTAATTTAATTTTAATAAAAAAAATTATTTTTGTTTAAATTATATAATGTTGATCCCTTAAAATTTTTTTAATTTTATTTTAATAAAAAAAATTATTTTTGTTATTTTTTTATCCTAAAGTTTTTAATTTGTACTTAAAGTTTCTGAAATATATATATATATATATATATATTACCAAGGGCGTGTTTGTTTACTACAAAAACATGAAATTCATGTCTCCACGGCCACAATCCACAGCCTCCCTGTTCTCTCAGTAAACCAAAAAAAATAAAATAGCAGGAATGCAAGAAGAAGGAGAGATGGTGACACCAGGAGAAGTATTAGGCAAAGCAACAGAACTAAAAGCAGGAAAAGGAGCCTACATAGGATCATATCGCGACACTGATATACAATACCTCTTCTCTTCTCTCACTGGTATCCGCCGCACTCTATCTCCTTCTCCTGACTCTCCTGACCAGGTACTTCTTTTCCCCCTTTTGTTTTGTTAAAGTTCTAAGCTTTACTATCATTTTGATTATAGATAGTTGGTTCTTGAAATTAGAAAACAAAAAAATTGGAACTTTTTTTTTTCTATATGGCTACTGTGTATTGGGATTGGCTTTTTTTTCTGTTGCTTTTTTTTAGGGAATTTGAGAAATTTAGATGTTTCGGTGTATTGGGTAGTAGGTTCTCCCCATTTTTCTTTTTGGGTTTTTGCTAGTTTCATGAAGTTTGCAGTAGTTTTTTTATATATTTTTTTTTAGTGGTGTTAGGGTAGGGAATGTAATATGTTGAAAGTTCTGGGCTTTAGTTGTTAGCGATGAATAAAAAATGTTTGGTTCTTTATGCTTACTTTGGTTGCCCAGAAGGGAGAAAGTGGGATAAAGGGATAAATTATCTGAGTTATGCAATGCAACGAAAGGAAATCACTAAAATGCAAAATAAAGGAGCCTAAATATCTGTTCAAGAAATTTTTTTTCTTCTCTAAGTCCATATAAAGCTCAATATTCTGTGAAAAAGGTTATCTAATTGACTAATTTCTAGTACTGGAAATGTGTATCGATTGATGCAAGGAGCAAAATTGTAAATTGATGTGTTATGCTGAGTAATGTCTTACGATGTATTGACATGCTATGTCAGCTGATGCAATTTCTCTAGTTTTCGAAATGTTGTAATTAAGCATATGGTAATCTTGGTATGTTTGGTATTGTTGTTGAGAATTGGAATCGTTGCAGAGACCAACTGTTGAAGTAACTGGACACAAGGCCCATGGTGCTGTTCCGGAGCCTGGATCTGTTGTCATTGCCAGAGTAAAACTTACTCATTTATCCTCTTATTTTTTATTCATTAAGCTTTGTTATCTTTGTTTAATTTTTTGGATTGTGATTTTGATAGGTTACTAAAGTGATGGCAAAAACAGCTTCGGCTGATATAATGTGTGTTGGTCCTAAGTCTGTGCAAGAGAAGTTTACTGGCATAATTAGGTAAGATCACGTTGTGGTTTGTTATTTTATTTTGCTTAGTTGCCTCTTTTATTTGTGTTAGCTTAGCATGCTATACTGAGAAGTTAATAGCACATAAAAATTGAGGATAACTTCTTCTCTTAACAGACAACAAGATGTAAGAGCAACTGAGATTGACAAAGTGGATATGCATTTATCATTTCGGCCTGGTGACATTGTCAGAGCTCTTGTTGTATCCTTTATGCTTGAAGTTCTTATACTTTTCTGCTATAAAGGTCATTGCATTCACGTGAATTGTGGTGTTAAATGCCACAATTTTGTATACCAATTCCCAATAAGCTTGATGTAACAAAATAAGAAGTTTTTCCTTGATGCAATGCTGTTAACAAGCTATCACTTGGAGATGCACGAGCTTATTATCTTTCAACTGCGAAGAATGAATTAGGTGTTGTGTCTGCAGAGAGCGCAGCTGGTAAGCTTCTACTAGATTTATTGTTCTAGAAAGTATTCATATTTAGGCATTTGAAGTACAAATGAGACATATTCCTGACTGTTGCATTTAACTGTCTGTGCTACCCAGTACACGCTTCTGATTTTCAAAACTCAGTGGTGCTTGTGTACCTGTATTCCATTAATGTGAACATCTAGTCAATTTTCTCCCTATTTCTATTGTATTTCTCTATATTCCGGTTTCTTTCCCCTCTTGCTGAATTCATGGTTTATGGGTATATCAATCAAACAAAGTTACCATCATGTGAGAAGATAAGTGATAAACCACTCTTCAACCCTGTTAGCATGAATAAGTGGACTCTGATGGTTGTTGTTTAGCGTTCTCTTGGGGTTATCATATCAGCTTGTACTGATGTGTGTTTTAGATTTTGATGCCATTGCACTCTGATTGAGATGCAATTTTTGCCTTCTTGTGATAATATGGATGGGTAAGATGCTTTCCCTTCACCAAGTCCTTTCTGTGTAACCAGGGCTCACTTCAAGTTCTTCTTGTTTACTCCTGTGTTTCCACCTTAGATGCATGCGTCAAGCACCTTTGATTCACTATTAAATTCTATCTTAGCAACTGTAGAGATGCTTTAACTTTTGTTTTTTTGACATATTCCTTGGACGTGAGCCCAGGCCAGGTTAATTTGGTTTTGAGATTGTTATACTGTAAATTATCTGGTATGGAATAGGACAAGGGTGCTAATTATCTAATGAAAACAAAATTCTTTGAACTCCAATCTCAAGTTTTGGTGGCATCCGATGTCTTGAAGTGACTTAAAATCACATAAAATACTGCCAGTTCACTTTTATATTTGGAAAAGAAAAGGTGTCAGTTTTATACTACTCTGGTAATGTTATTCTACTTTTTACCAGAAGAAGAGATACTCGGAGTACGTAATACAGTTACTGTAAAGTGTCACCTTCAAGTCAAGCTAGTAATATCTATGGCATTGGTAATAATAGGGTGCCATGTCTGATTTGAAGTCTTCTTCTATAGTTGGGCTGCCAATGCCATCTCTGCTGACCAGAAAATACAAAAACATTCATGATCGAACTCACTGCTTAACTATTTGTATGTTTTATGTTGCATATTCTTCTAGCATGGCTTTGGGTTTTTTACCTTCTTAAGAAACAAATCTGATAGGTTAATGCATTGATTTTCTTTGATGTTTTTGCGATTGCTGTAGGTGCAACAATGGTTCCCATAAGTTGGACAGAGATGCAATGCCCATTGACAGGCCAAATTGAGCAAAGAAAAGTCGCCAAGGTTGGAAGTTGAATACACTGATAATCAAATAGCGTTAAATGTAACTTCTACTGAGTTTTTCTCATAGAGGAAGTGCGATTAGAATTTGCAACTAGTGAGACAGTAGTGATTTTTGTGTTTGGTTCAAGATATATTGTTCTGGTTTAGGGAGTGCCCCATCTGCCAAATCACATGGTGTGGTGTTGATAGTTGGAAGAAAAGACAATTTGCCAGATCTCCTCACGCCGAGCCATTGTTATCAATGTAACAATACACCAAACCAGTTTTCATTTTTCTTTTATATTATGTTGCTCTATGCTTTTGTTGTCTCCTCAATGCAGATGAAAATTTTGCAATTTTTTTTGATAATATCTGTTTATTTCGTATAAAATAACTTGTTTTTAATTTAGCCGAGATGATCTTTCAATCCACAAGGACTTGTTAAATCATGAATTTTTCTCAGCTTCTGATGCAACTGGCTTCTTCCATTTTAAATTCAAACCCTGTATTCCGCAAACGGCTGAATTTTAGACTTGTATCATGATGTAAGCTTGAGCTTTTTATGCTGTTCGATTCGAGGTACAGTTACCAAAAGAAGAAGAAAACAAGCTTCTGCTTAGACCGCATGAAGGAAGGAATCAGGCAGTATTCTGTGGAGAAAGGAACAGAAGAAGTAATAAACAAGGCAAACAGGTTGAACATGAAAGGTAAAATGCGTCTCATGCTTCTCTTAGCTGCCAAAGCAAAGGAGATGCATCCCTTGCTTGAAAGCAAATTTGGCACAATTTGCTCCATTCTTTTCTCTAAGGGAACTTGCAAGTTTTATTACCCCGCTAGATGGTGTTTGAGATGGCAAATGAATGCAACTGATTTTGTCGAATGGTATGTTTCAGACGATGAAATCATTGGTATGACGATACCATGCAAGTATAGGAGTGAGGGGTAATGATGCAGTAGTGTTTGGATCCTTTAGATGGGAAAAATGATGATGGATTTGGATAGACAGACGCAATTTGATGGATCTATATAAAGACTCGATATACAAAAGTTCGAACATTTGGAAACTAACATTTCATTCTACCTTGGAAAAATAAAAAAGGAAGCCACTACAATCAGTCCACCTTAGAAAATTTGAAAAAGAGAGGATAAATCTGCTTTAAAATGGAACAAAACAAGAACCCATCCAATCCAAATCACATACATAAACTTCACAAATATCATCATGATATTCTTCTTTTATTTACACCACAATTTGAGACACACAGTGTCAGTCCTTAACAAGCTCGAGTTTTTCGGTTGCTGCTGACACATTTATAACTGAACTAAACACAATGCCTTGTCTTCCCGTCCTCCTTCAACCACTGCCAGCTCTCTCTTCTTCCTCTCCTACCCTTCTCTTTCTCCAAAATCCACACCACGTCCCTTCTGTAACCTCTCTTAAAAAACCCAAAAAGATTCTCCGCTCAAAACCTCTTAAAATCCCACCTTTTGCCCTGACAGAATCATCAGACTCTCCTCAATCTATTGACCCTTCTCCACAACCCCTCCTTCAAGAGCTCTCTGTAAGCACCCACATGCGCATTTAGATATATTTTACATGTACTGTCATGTTTTACATTTTCCGAAATTGTATATTGTTCTAGTGATTTTTGTTGTGTTTTTGTCTTGTGGGGTTGCAGGACTGCTTTGATCTTCCGCCAGATTATTTCCAACAATTACCGAGTGATCTTCGATTAGATGTGTGTTGAATTTTTGATTTTCTTTTTTAACGTACTTTAGTTGTCTTTTTTGTTTGTTAGATGTTGTTTTATTGGTCAATTGAGAGAGTTTGTGTTGGTGTTGTGTTTGTGTTTGTAGTTAAATGATGCAGCTTTTGATCTTTCGAATGGACCAGTTCTTGATGAGGTTAGTTGTTTTGTTTTCACACATTTTCTTTTTAATTAGAAATGAGTAAGTACAGTATGCCATATGGCAGGACTCCAATCTTCTAGGCCATTGAGCTCAAAGTATCTTTATGAAAACCATTAGGGGTACATAGTCAAACTTCCATGGTTATGTTTAGGATGATCTGGTATGCTGGGATAGAGTGCTAACATTAGTAGAGTGTAAAAGTTCAGAGGTTGCCTGGTGTGATTTGTATAATTCATTTGACTTTCGTAGTTCCTATCATTTTTTTTCTACCAGTTGTTGCAATAAGAACTGCAGGTGTATATCACCATTTTGCTGTCACCTAATTCTCATTTCAGGCGTCCTCAATGTTTGCCTATGTTTGTAATGTTGTTGACTACAATGAAAAGAACTTTTCGCTGAAACTACTTTTGGATGTAACTTTTTAGTGCGGTAAAGAGCTGGGAGAACTCTTGTTAAATCTCTCTAGAGCATGGGAGCTGGGTGACACATCTACTTCCCAAGCTTTAGCGAGCAATTTGCCTATGCTGGAGAGCTCTTTAACAAACAATGCTAAATCAGGCAAGAATAGGAGCATTCATCACTGACAATGGTTGCATGGTTTAGAGTTGTTTTCAGAATCTGAAGCTTGTACTTCATTTTATGCTTGTTTAGCATTTGGCAAACGTTTGGTATCTGCTGGAAGGAGGTTCCAATCCATGGGACAGTATGGTCAGGGTGAGCTGCAGAAAGTACTTCATCGAACTTTAAAGCTCATCTTGTGCTTTCATTACTGTTATCATATTATTACTACACAAAATGTATATTGAAAATCCTTTTGTTGTGGATACAGTATGTGGGATAAAAATCAACTGCCATATTAACTGCACTATTTTTTACTTAGTCCGAATGGACTTAGATACTTTCACTTGGTAAATTGCTTGTCCAAATTCAATCTTTTGCTCCATCTGGAGTCCCTTGATGAAAGAAAAATAGTAATATTCTAGTTGCTGTTGGAAATCTTTGTTAAAAGAACTAGGCATTGGTTTATGTCAATTGTAGTATACCACATATCAGATGTATTATCTATACTTTGCAAGCTCATCAACAGTGTCATTCCTTTCTACATGTGACGTTAGTTACACTGGAGATTGTGTTTCTGAAGCAAGGCAATTGTTTTAATACCACTCAAACATTGTAGATTGCACAAACAATGATTACAACGGGAAAGCTTCTTTCTGCAAGTTCAATACCAATGGAAACTGATGAGGAATTGAAGAAAGAAACAAAAGTCTTCAAGGTAGCTGATAACCCCCAGTTTATTGAGATGTTACCTCAAAGAGATGGAGTACACATGAATAATATAATTTGCAATTTTAATCCCATTGCAGTTTGGAGAACTACAGGTTGAAATAACACCACAGAAAGCTAATATTGGGGCTGTCATTGGACTTATATTTGGGTAAATATTCCATATAAATTGTCATTTCCATCTTTCAACATTTTATTTTACAACAAAGAGGAGAAACATTTTTTAAATATCCAATTTTGAAATGTAGGATTGTTTCATGGGAACTAGCTCAAGGCATCCAAAGCATTCCAGAAAGTTCATTGGAGTATGCAAACGACAATGCTTTACTTCTGGCTAAGGTGCTGGAAAAATGCACATTGGATTTTAATTCCCTCTGTTCCTCTTAGAACCTATTAATAATCAAGGCGTGCTAAAACCTGAAATTTTCTGGATGCAGTCTCTAAGAGGAGCTCTACTTGCCCTTTGCTACTCATCAGCCTTTCTGTCTGCTTGTACCACTGTGGCACTTTTCTTACTTGCAAGACAACTCAAGTCAAAGGAAGATTGAGGGTTTTTGGATTATTTTACCTCGCCTTTTAATGTTGTTATTGAAGTGACTAGAAGCCATCAGTTCCACCTAAAGTGATTACATCAAGGTTTTAGTATTTTGTCTAACAATGAAAATACCGAACTGCTCAAGTATGATGTCATAATTGCCTAATCCTTTTTTTATTTTATTTTTTATGACCTACCTTTGGAAACTGTACTAGGTTGTCATGAGTTAAAGAAGTTTTATTGTTTGCTCTTTTCCGTTTGCTTTTGTTATGTAGAAGTTTCAAGGACTTTGATATACTGGTTTACAATATAGTTGTACAGCCATTATTTATATGTTCACACCTGCCTTTTGTTTTTGTAATTTATACACGCGTTGTGTTCTCTTTCATCATCAAACAATTCTTTTTGGTCTGAATTTCCAGTCAATTTTCTTTTTGTTTTTGGAACTTCATTTCTTCAACTCAAAGTTATGGAGGGACGGATGGTTGGGATGCAGAACTCGTGCAAGGATTATTATTTTTTTATTCATTTATGGAATTGATCCTTAGTTTTAATTTTTGTTACAGGCCTGAACATTAGCAAGTGAATGACTATTGGTTTGCAGAATAATTTTAATCTCTCAAGTACCAGGTCCTTGCCAGATATTGGCAAGGCCGTGGCACGGTAGTTTTACAAATTAAAGCATTTATGCTCTCTTCAGCTAAACATCAGATCCTGAAATTTCCCCATAATCGAGGCTGAGTGCAGCAAATTCTCCATCTCTATACTTACAAATTCTCCATCTCTATACTTAAGTATCTGATGGATAGATGAGCATGCATGAGGTCATGTCTGTAAGATAGACAGATGGTTTAGAAATGACAAGTATAATTTTTAAATGTTCCAATTCTCTTTTATCATATTGATTATGAACCTCAATGGCAGTTAAGGAAGTTATAACTCTAATAGATGCGGCAATTAGCTGGCTAATGCTTAGAATAATGCATTTGAAGAAAGCCATCCAGGAAAATGACAGGAAATTAATTTGCAGAAGTTGAAACCAAGGTATGTATGGGGTAGAATTAAAGAATTATGTTCCGTGAAACCTTAAAATAATCTTCTCTTTATGACCATAGTGAACATGAATTGATAAGTCCCTGAAATCTACCGGACCCAAAAGATCCATGTTAGTTAACCTAATCTTCTCTTTATGACCGTAGTGAACATGCTTAGTTTGCATTATTGTTCTTAATGTATTGACAGAGACAAATAAGAAGCTGTGTGAGTTGCTGACATTTCAAGCCTTGGACTTCATGTGGTTCTTGCTTTTTGTAAATTTATTAAATAGGCTTCAGATTTTGAAGAGACCATTTGCGGGAAGATTTATGGAATAATGTTGTCTCAATCTGACCGGGCATAAACTTGCATCCAGGACATTTCTTGTCAAATTGGCTACTCACAGATTCTTTGGACACCCTGCATTTGTTTATCATGTAAAATTCATATTCTTCAGCTCACCAAAAGGCATACTGTCACAGGCTGATTAGGTGTAACCTTGAGGTAAGAGTATTTTTAGTGATCTGGAGTTATAGTTGCCAGTTGATTATTTCTGCTATAGTCTTGCTGATCCATTATTAAAAGAGGGAAGGGTTAATCGCTTAATTTATTTTCTTGAGTTGGCCCCAACTTCATTGAGTAGCCATGTACTTTCCTTGCCATTGACCTTGCATTGTTCTGATTTCCATTTGTCAAATATTTCGTTGTCTACTAGCTATGTTTGCAGCTCTTAAATCATTTGTCATCTTATGCTAAACTTGTTGAATATTCATTGAGATCCACTTAGTATTGAGAATCTATCTGAATACATGAAGATATGCATATTATTCCAACATGTTTTAGTTACCACTACAGTTTGATCATTTCTGTTTTAAATTCAAAATCCCAGGTGATTAGCACTAAGAGGAAGAAAACCATTCAATTGAAGGACATGACTTCGACATATCACCGAGATATGTTACATCTTTTAGTTTTGTTTCCCTGTCTTGATAAATGGCCCATCTTATGTAAGCAATTACTTGATATTCTTTAAATCTTCATAAATCATCATATTCTACTATTTTGATTTAGAAAATCAATCTGTATTTAGAATCTTTTAAATGTATGTTGGCTGAAAATAGTGTGGTATATTTTTAATCATAAGGTTCTTTTCACACAACTACTACTGCATGATGATTTGTATAAGATACACTTTGAGTGTACAGATCATGTATCTAAAACATAATTCATACAGAGAAGAAAAAACTGGAACAGTTATTTTCTGTCGAGAAGAAACAGTGGAAAATCTTCTGCATTCTGTTAGGCTGAGATTAGTGATTGGTTGCAGTTTTGTTGTTTCAATGTTATGTTCTAAGTGGATATATGCACTTGAAGATTCATGCAATTAATTCTTGGAAAAATAGCAATTATCCAAACTATAAACTGCTGCATGAAATGCTTTCAAGTACAACCGTTCTAGATCTTGACTCGAATAATTTAGCCAAAAACCAAAAACAATATTGTCTTAAGTGCTGACAATTAACAAAACCTTTCCTTGTCTATGCATCATCTCTCACGTCACCGAGGACCACAGTAACTTGATCGATTTGCTGCTGCCTCACAAAATATATAAGCTTTTAAAAATCCTTGACAATGAATAAACAGATTAACTACTACAAACAATTCATTAAATTAAGGTAACTAATTGTACCTGCTGTCCACTACTTACATGAATCACCTCCAAATCTGAAATGCTTGATTGTTTATCACATGTTATCAACCCCGTTAATTTGGCTTTCTCATAAAGCAAGTGAATGTTATTGGTAATGAATTGCTCTAGTGGTGTGTGCTATATTATATAGTTTATTATTTGAATATTCATATCGGTTTCTTTGTGTTTGGTGCCTTCCCACTGAATTATAGATGCAAATTATAGACACAACTTGGCTCAACATTAATGCACAATATGACATTCATGTTTGACTTAAGGTACGGAGTGATAAAACTCTTTTCTTTGGTTGCATTAATCTCAAGGAAGAATGGATTTCTTGATTTGAATGTTATCATTGATAATTGATAATTGGGTTTATGTAGCTTGTACTTGTACTGATGGTTCACCAAACTTATGCATGTTTGGATTCAGTGTTTAGTTTGGTTTAGAAATAATAGATCTAACGGTTCGCTAGATCCATATAAATGCAGGCTTGGTGATTTGTCGACCTCGAAAGCAGTGGGTTTGAAAGTTTACCAGACCCGCATATATTTGGACGTGTTTAGTTTGGTTTAGAAATAATAGATATGACGGTTCGCTAGATCCATACAAATACAGGCTTGGTAATTTGTCGACCTCGAAAGCAGTGGGTTTAAAAGTTTACCAGACCCACATATATTTGGGCACAATACTTGGTTGAACATAAAAATGATGAATTATCATCGTAAAATTTGTTTATTTATTTAGAAAAGAGGACCGAGGAAAAACTAAAAGAAATATTAATCCATCAATAGCCTCCAAATATGTATACTATACACAAAGATTTTGCAAATCTCATGTTAGTAATAAATGAGAGTCGTTTTACCTTCTTTAAAAAACTTTGTACATTCTATACAGGATTGCCGGGATCTTTATGTCTAAGATGTCTCTTAGAATATAAAATGTGGCTTGCATTAAATATGATAATTAAGTGAACTTCTAGAGATTTGTGATGATATGAAAAATCATTCATCTAATGATAGGAGTAAAAATATGTTTTTTTAACTCTAGTTGTTCTTTCCTATAACTTTTATTTTACTTTTATTCTTTATGCATTTTAATTTGCTCTTGCAGAAAGACCTTAAAATATCTATGACACCTTTATTCTCAATCCAAAAAGAAAAAAAAATATTTTAGACATTTTTTTCATTAGAATCTTTATCCTTATCTTTCTTTTACTCGGAACAAAAATGGATCCTAAAATCAGCTAAGTTCTCTAATAAGAGAAATGTTTCATCCCCCAATGAGAAGTTAAAGTTTCAACCAAAACTTAAAAGAAATTATAGGAGATATAAGCCCTTTAGATTCAGACATAGAGTGGAAGAAGATGTCACATTGACAGCCTCCTCTAATAAGGAGGAGAGAAGATTCTCTTATAGAAGTGCATTTTTTATCCCTGTCAAAGATATGTAAGAGAGAAAGAGAGAGAGAGAGGTTACATCATATTTTTAAGGATGATATCTCTATCAATATATGTGTTGCAAATATGGAACTCGTGACTCATTACCAACCTAGTGAGTATATGGACATAGTGTCTTACCTTGATGAGCGCATCAGCCAACTAACTCTAGGCACCTCCATATCTACATGCACATAATGTGATGCTTCTTTCTTTGTCAAAAATTTATGAGGGATGTGTTTAAGTACTATCAATGGGTTCAGGTCACTTACATCTAAATGAGTGGACAATCATGTTTGCTTTAAAAAATTATGTAGAATGATTTTTTTAGCATCTATTTTTTATCATATTATTAAATAAAAAATGATTCTAAAAAAAATAATTGTTGAGAATCATGCTTTATAGTTTATTTCAATTTACTTTTTATGGGGTCATCGTTGTGTTAAAAAAATAACTCCATATTGCTTTGGTGCTCGGTTTTGCAAACATGTATTTTTTTATCATATAATTAAATAAAATTAATTAAAAAACACGGAGTTATTAAACTCAATGAAATTCATGATTCAGGTTGTGAGTTTGACGAGTTAATCTAAGTTGACTTGAGTTAATATAATGTCAATCGTCTCAATTTTTTTTATGAAAAGATGTTATCTTGAAGAGTTCTTTCGTAACTCGTCAAGGTAGCTAGATTACGTCAAGATAACTTCTATATAATTTAATTTGAAACTTAAGCTATATAAAGATGATCATGAGGTTTTTGGTTTGACTTTTTTAATTAGATTTAATAATATTATATAAAAAAATTTTATTTAGAATGTTATTTTTTTACTTTTAAAATATTTTTGGTCCCATTGGAGTGTAGCGCTGGGAATTATCTAGTTACAAAACTATTAAAAAACAAACCTTAAATAATGCAATTAAAAAAAAATCTTAGACTAAACCTTAAATAATGCAATTAAAAAAAAAATCTTAGACTAATTTATTTGGAAAGAAAATGAAAAAGAAAAAAGAAAAACAAATAGTGGTGTAAACTTGATTAAAGAGTAATTACATTCTTAGCTTAATTTACTACACTGTCCATAGTTTTTGTTGTCCTCGATTCAGTGAGGTCAATTGACCCTAAATTCCAAATCAACCATGGATATGCCCCTGTATATATCCCATGACATTTACCTAGTTCATATCTTTTTATGAACCTCACAATTTACACTAACCTCTCTGTATATATGTTCTCATACCCAAGCCTCCTCTCTTCCATAACCTTTTGGCTCATCTCTCTCTCTCTCTCTCTCCCCTCTTCCAACATGGCCTGCTCAGCCTCAGACCTAGCACCTCTCCTCTCCACCACTGTGAACTCCACAGAAGCTGCCACCTACTTATGCTCCCAGTTCAGCAGCATAGCCAACCAGCTCTCAGACACAACCTATGCAGTCAACAACACTTATCTCCTTTTCTCTGCCTACCTGGTCTTTGCTATGCAACTTGGCTTTGCCATGCTTTGTGCTGGCTCTGTGAGGGCCAAGAACACCATGAATATAATGCTCACTAATGTTCTTGATGCTGCTGCCGGTGGCCTTTCTTACTATCTCTTTGGATATGCCTTTTCCTTCGGCTCCCCTAGCAATGGCTTCATTGGCCGCCATTTCTTTGGTTTGAGAGAGTTTCCTTCTTCTCAAGCCGACTATAGTTTCTTCCTTTATCAATGGGCTTTTGCTATAGCTGCTGCTGGCATCACTAGTGGCTCCATCGCTGAGAGAACCCAATTCGTTGCTTACCTCATATACTCCTCCTTTTTAACTGGCTTTGTTTACCCAGTTGTTTCTCATTGGTTTTGGTCCGGTGATGGTTGGGCCAGTCCGGTTAAATCTGATAATAATCTCCTATTCGGTTCGGGTGCTATTGACTTTGCCGGTTCAGGTGTGGTTCACATGGTTGGAGGAATAGCTGGTTTCTGGGGTGCTCTCATCGAAGGCCCACGTATTGGCCGGTTTGACAGGAGCGGTCGGTCCGTGGCATTACGCGGTCATAGCGCTTCACTCGTGGTGCTTGGTTCGTTTTTGCTGTGGTTCGGGTGGTACGGGTTCAACCCCGGTTCGTTTTTGACAATTTTGAAGAGTTATGGCGATAGTGGCGGGTATTACGGCCAGTGGAGCGCTGTAGGAAGGACAGCTGTCACTACAACACTGGCCGGGTGCACAGCAGCCCTTACTACCTTGTTTGGCAAAAGACTATTAGTTGGCCATTGGAATGTCCTTGATGTTTGCAATGGTTTATTGGGAGGTTTTGCTGCAATCACCGCAGGGTGTTCAGTGGTAGAACCATGGGCTGCAATCATCTGTGGCTTTGTTGCATCTTGGGTTTTAATTGTGTGTAATAAGCTGGCAGAGAAATTAAAGTATGACGACCCCTTAGAGGCGGCCCAATTGCACGGCGGATGTGGCACGTGGGGGTTGCTGTTCACCGGGTTGTTCGCGAAGGAGGCGTTTGTGAATGAGGTGTATCCAAACAAGGCAGGGCGGCCATATGGGCTATTAATGGGTGGTGGTAGGAAGCTATTGGCAGCCCAGATTATCCAGATCCTGGTGATATCAGGGTGGGTCACGATGACAATGGGGCCATTGTTCTACGGGCTAAAGAAGCTGAATTTATTAAGGATCTCAAGTGAGGATGAGATGGCAGGCATGGATCTGACAAGGCATGGTGGGTTTGCCTATATATACCATGATGATGATGATCAATCAGGGAAGCCATCTTCTTTTATGATGAGAAGAGTTGAGCCTGCTGGTGAAAACACACCTCGTCGAAACTTATCACCCATTAGCGCGTGACTACAATTTAGGTATTACAGTTGCAATTTCCAGAAAGAGATTAAAAAAAAAAAAAGAATTCATCTTGATATAATAGAAGGGAGTGTTCGGGTGAATTAGAAAAAATAATTGAACTGCCCATAGGAGTGATGTGAATGGGTGGTGACCTTAGAGTGCTGTTGTTGCTGATTTCCATTGAAAGAGAAGGTGAGGAGTTTCACCATAACCAGAAAGGGTGCTTTGAGGTGTAATAATAATTATTTTTGGAAGTATTTTTTATTTTAAAAAATATATTCAAATAATATTTTTTTATATTTTTAAAAAAATTATTTTTAATATTAGTATATTAAAATAATATAAAAATATCAAAAATATATTAATTTAAAATAAAATAAAAAATTCAATTTAAAAAAAAAACTTTAGAAACACAATACTAAACACTATATACATGATTCATAATTATTTTTAAAAATTAAATCATTCAAGTGGCCAGAACTTGAGATCAAGGGGTTTGCTCCCTCTATGATCTCAGGTTCGAGTCCTTGGTTGCTCTTATGATGGCTACTAGAGGCTTACATGGTCGTTAACTTCAGGGCCCGTGGGATTAGTCGTGGTGCGCGCAAGCTGGCCCGGACATCCACGTTAATCTAAAAAAAAAATCATTCAAAAAACTTGTTAACTCGAGATTCTTAGTATAAAAGTTAATATCAAAATTAATTAAAATTAAAATTTAACTTATATCAAACTTTCAATCAACTTATTATGTTAGACGGATTCAATAACTTTATTATAAGATATAGATGTATTATTCATGTTTGTCAATTAATCAACACATTTGTTCTCTTCTCTAGGAATATAATGGTGAATGGGCTTGTCAATCTTTAACCAGAAATTATCCCAAATTATTTCATTTTGTTGACCAAAAATCCAATTTAATATTGATCAAATATAAGAAAACTGATTACACAATATATAAGATATAGATGCTGATGTCAGATTAATTTATTTTAAACATGTTTATATAAATTATATAATTTTTGTAACTATAGATTTCCAGAGATGGAAGCAATTTCTAATAGCAATGACTATAAAGAAAAGAAATTCCCAAACACAGGATTTCAGTCATAAAAAAATTCTCCTCTCTCAATATATATATTTATGTTGAACGAAAATTGCCAACTAAAAAACAAAAAAAGAAGGCTGTATTTCCCCCCTCACTCTCAATTTTGTTCCTCTTATATTGTATTTTTTTTGTAAAAAAAAACTATTTTTTTTATTTTAAAAAACATGACATCAATTCAATATTGGAATGTTGTGTTAACATCATAAAAAATAATTAAAAAAATTATTAATTATAATCCCTAATAAATATAATATTTAAAAGTAAAATTAAAAAAAGGGCTAGATACATAAGCAGGAAAAAAATCATTGGAGAAAAAAAAAACAATGTTACTATTATATAATCCACAAGTGTTTTTTACTCGTATTCTCACAGTGCACTTTTTAGATTTTTGCTAATAATAAAAGCTCAATATTTTTATGGACCGGGGTCCAATGGGCCAGGCTCCGCAGTAAGGTTGTCTTCCGCAGCCCTGGCTTCTCGGGCTCCCTTGATAGGCTCTTTTTTTCTTTTTCTTTTTTTCCTATTCTTTAGAACTCTACCGTAAAAAGAATGTAATTGCTTGTTTATGACTTCTTGACTCTTATTATTTGTTTCCACTACGTCGTGCTCCTTTCTTTATTGAAGAGTAACATCGTGCATGGTGCTGTTGCATCGTTGTTCAAGCTCTGATAAATTCTAAAGCCTTGTTTTTGTAGCTAGACTTAATCTACCATATCATACATTGCTCAGCTTGGAGCATACATAGTGTGAGATTTACGTTAAGATGGGAAGAATTGAAGACTTGGAAGGTGCTGTTGATGCGTCTTTTGAACAACTTGTCGAAGAAATAAGAGAAGCTGCCGACTGGGATGAAACAAAGACAGAAGATTTGCTAACGGAGAAGATTGTGACAGAATTTGTGAGCTTCCATGTTAAGAAGGCCGACAAAGAATGGGCAGCGAGGAGACTAGAAGGACGGGATGCTGAAACAGCAGAGAAGAGAAGGGCGATGCCGGATAAATCACCTTCAAAATCACATGTTAATAGCTTGGCTAACAAGAGGCTGCAAGGGTTGCTTGAAAGAGACAGCAAAAAAGAAGAAGAAGCTGGGAAATTGAATAAACAAGAGGTTAGAAAGCAATTGTCTCAAGGTAGATGAGTAGCGACTTTAGTTTTAGAAATCTTAATATTCAAGTAAATTGGTAGGGATGATGGAATTGCAAGAAAGCACAGAGTTCTTCATGGTAGAAAAGTGATAGTTACTGTGTTTTTGTCCCAACCACTAAGTTGAAGAGATTTAGGAATTGGAAAGGATTACCCTCTTTGTGTAGCCGAGACCTATTGTCTCTAGATTTTCTCTAGGCTAATAGTATATATTTTAATATATTTTAAAAAAATTTAGGGTTTTATAATCTGATTTTACTATTTGAATTTATTTTGTATTTTTTATGCTGTGTTAAAAATATATTTTTAACAATCTTGATTAGTCGTTTACCTAATACCATGAGCCGATCTTTTTTCCACGACTTGGGTATAGATCTAACCATGTCAAGTTAATTGATTTTATTTTAATTAAACAATAAAAAAGATATGATAACAAATTAATCAAATTTTGTTGGGAAAAAAATATTTTTTCAAAGGAGATAAATAATGTAGCTCAATTTTCATCCCATTAAATACAAAAAAACAAAGTTTGGTAAAGACAAAAAGTACTAAAAAAATCATGTTGAGTTAACTCAAGTTAATATGATAAATTTATAACTTCGATAATTTTATCAAATCCTCAACTTAGATTAAGATAATCCGATAAAAACAAAAATGAAAAAAATCACAAAGCTTATTTTTCTTTTAAAAAAATCAATGTCAACCCATACTTAACTTTTCAAACCAATGACTTAAGTCATGAAATTGTAAAAGCATAATATATAGAAAAGCCATGAAAACTCAATTCAAAATCAATCGAATGTTGAAAGATAAAATTAAAGAAAACAATCAATTAAATAAAAAAATTAAAAATATAAAATAAAAATAAAAATAATAATGATCAAAATTGAAATACAAAAAGTATTTTATCTTTAATTGAATGGTGAAATTGAAAAGAAAAATAATATCACAGAAGAACAAAAAAATTGTCTGAAAGATAAGGAAAAATAAAATTTTTCCTCAACTGTATCAAGTCAACTTGTGTTAATCTTTAAAACCAGTGATCCTGATTATGAGCCCGGACCTTCTTAATAAATCAAATGTTAAAGAAAAAATTTAAAAATAAATTAAATAAAAACCTTAAAAAACACTAAAGTCAATTTGTGTTGACTTTTGAAACTCATGACTCTGGTCATAAGTTCAATACTAACTCTATATAAGGTAAACCCTAAAAAATAATGAAGAAAAATTCTAAATCAATAAAATATTGATTAATGAAATTTTTAAAAAATAAAATAAGAAAAGGATCCAAAACAAAAGAAACAAAAATAAAAAAATAATAAGAACTAAATATGATATAAAAATAATTTAAAATCAAATGTTAAGGGATGAAGTTAAAAAAAAATAATTAGAAAAAAAATAAAACAAACAAACAATAATTAAAAGAATAAGTATCAAATTTGATATAAAAATTAAATGAAACCCACATGACGAGGGATGAAATTAAAGAGAAAATTCAATTAAAAAGAAACAACAAATAGCAATTAAAAGAATGAGAATCAAATTAAAAAAAAATATTACCTTTATATTTTGGAAAAAAAAAAAGAAAAAAAAGTATATTGAAGCCAAACCATTGCACTGTCGAGTGCACGCACCACACCATAAAAAAAAAGTGGTACGAGGTTTTTTTAAACTTCATTGTAGAAGGCAGGACAATACCTCACACGCCACCTAAATGGCTAAGATATCATCCACTCGCTGGTATGTGTGTTACATGCATCATTCATTTTTTTATTTTTAAATAATATTTATAATTATTAAAAGATCAAAGTTAACTTGATAATTCTAAAAAATCTGATTTTAAATGATAAAAAAAGCTATTAAGTAACAATTTAAAAATATTTGCTTTTAAGGATAGTTTAGTCTATACATTTAGATTTAAAAATATAAAATGATAAAATTACTCCTAATTAATCTTTTGAAAAATCTTGCTTTTAAAGGTAATAAAGTTTTTACACTATGCATTTAAAATATTAAAAAACTAAATTATTCATGAACACAACAAGTTTATTGATTTTTTGTTAGAACAAAAAAAAATATTAATTATATTATTATAGTAAATAATATTCTTTGTCTATCTTTGTCTAGGGAGACAATGAATTTTCCATGGCTTTTAGTTTTTTTAAAAAAAAATATTTAGATGCAAGGGACAAGTTATTTGATGGTTGATTCCTTATTATTTATATATATATATTTTTTTTTATTCACTCGCGGGGTATTTTTAGTCTCCAACACTCTCCTCTTTACACACAATTGTTGCACTTTTTTTTAGTTGAGAAATTATATGGTATTTAAGAAGTAATTAATATCTATCTTATTATTTATACCTTGAAATCCATCTTTGAAGAAAAAAATAGATATAAATAAGAAAAGAAATTCTAAATATTAATAAAAAATAAAACTCATGACTAAAAAAAATAAAAATATAAGCATATCTTGCTTTAGAACTTCTCTCTCTATATCTATTTTCACGATGTAGCTAATACCCGACTACCAAATTGAGATTTGTTGGGATGGCCTGCTTAGAATTTTGTTAAGCTTGTAAAGTGTTGGGCTCCTGGTAGATAAGCCTCTGTTGATTATAAACCAATCTCTTAACGTTCATCTTTGCTCTAAAAACAGTTCAATCAGATGCTCTAGCATTTGCAAGCTGCTGCTGCTTCTTCTTCTTCTTTCACTCTGTGTGTAATACTATTTGCTTTTAGGACTCCATTTTTGTTGTTAATAAGAGTGACAAGACATCAAACATTCTAAACCATTCTACAGAAGATCATGCAATCCTTGTAAAGAAATATCAGATGACTAGTAGATGCTTTTGAAAGCATGAAAAAAATTGATATATACACGGAGATGCATGCTTTCTCCATCATATAAAGCTATATATTATTTTACAGACATGCATGAATGTCAATCCTACACATGTCCTAAGTCTATTCCCTCTCTTTCCCAAATCTCTGGCACTCAAATCGTTCCTTTTTTGCTAATTTTTACCAACAATATGTGATCACCCAACAGTATTCTATAAGAGGAGAAGCCCGAAGCAATGTCCTTGTTTCTTCCTTATCAGTTCCATCAACACCAAATTAAGGTCTAAATTCCCACTTTCATTTTATCCCTTTCTCAAGAATTTAACCCTGATTTTTGTTACAAGATGAGATTTTATAATTCCTCTAAAAATCTTCATCATCATCCCCCAACACTATTACTGATCTTGTTCGCATTGTTCTTAACTTCAACCATCCCATTTGCTTCATCCGAAATCAAAGACACATATGTTTTTGATGATTCTCGTCCCATTATCATGTTTGAGCAATTTGGTTTCACAGAAGGTGGTCAGGTAGACATTTCCATAAAAGACGTCTCTTGGAAATCAAGAAGTCGAAAGGCAGAACTTAACCCTTCTTCCATGGGATTTTTCCTGGCTAGAGACTCTTCCTTCTCAACAATATTCATGAATGACTCACTGCAAAATAAAGATGAAAGCTTTTGTGTTCTGTATAGCCGGTATGTAAAGCTCTTGTTCAATTTCAATGACCTTAGCATGAATGCATCAGCTTATAATGGCTCTGCATCTATTGATGAGGCTGATGAATATAGCTTGGTGTTTGGGAATTGCCAGCCAGAACTTGAAGTGTCAATGCATATACATACCGAGATGTGTAACTTACAAGATGGTGCAAAAAATTTCCTTCCTATAGGACAAACCTTTCTGCCAAATTTTTCTCTCCATGTTTCTCATTTATACTTGCTTTTTTGGGATATGGAGTTTTGTTTGCTTCAAACAAAGACCAACAGTTGACACGATCCACCTAATAATGGGGGCGTTGCTTTTTGTCAAGGCACTTAAAATGATATGTGCGTCTGAGGACAAAATGTATGTGAGCAAAACTGGTACTCCTCATGGCTGGGATGTAGCGTTCTATATTTTTGGATTCTTCAAGGGCATAATGTTATTCACTGTGATCATCCTTATAGGCACTGGTTGGTCATTCTTGAAACCATACCTTCAAGAACGCGAAAAGAATGTTTTGATGATAGTAATTCCCTTGCAAGTTCTTGAAAACATAGCTTATGTTGTTATCAGTGAAACTGGGCCAGCAACTAAGGATTGGTGGACCTGGAACCAAATCTTCTTGTTGATCGATGTCATATGCTGTTGCGCTGTGTTTTTCCCGATCGTTTGGTCGATTCGAAATCTGAAAGAGGCATCAAAATCGGATGGAAAGGCTGCTCGGAACCTCCAAAAGTTAACCCTTTTCAAGAATTTCTACATTTGTCTGGTGATGTATTTGTATTTCACTAGAGTTGTCGTTTCTTCTATGGAGGGTATTTTGGATTATAGATATGAAGGGTTTACGTATGTTCTTTCTGAAGGTGCAAGCCTGGCTTTCTATGTGTTCATATTCTACAATTTTCAGCCCACGGAAAGGAACCCATACTTGGTGATTGATGAAGAGGAAGAGCTTGCTGCAGAACAAATATTGCAAGATGATGACTCCTTTGAACTATAAGGTATTGTTTGGTTACATGGAAGAGATGAAGACAATAGAATCAAAGAAGAGAGAACATATTTCCATGTTCGTTTTAATTGTACACAAATTTTGGAATATTGCACAAAAAAATTTTAATCATTCAAATGCGTTCTCAAAAGTCTCTATATTAATATTTTGAAAATCAGGATTACAACTAGGTTGATGGTGTAATTAGAGTACTATAATGCATTTGTTCAACAATAAAAGCCATATATATATATATATATATATATATTCACTTATTTGGGTAACATTATAATATTTATCGCTTCAGATTAAATTATTATATTTAAACTTGATAATCATAATATGTGTTCACTAACCATTATGGTTATGTAACGTTAACAAAATAGTAACAGAGATGATGCTTTTACCCATCACCTAAAATGGTAATAACAAATTTTTTTTAAAAAAATAATTTTATTTAAAGAATCATCATCTAAATATTATAATTACTAAAAATTCTAATTAGTTAATAAAAATTTTATGGTATAAAACTAACAATATAAAATAAAAAATATTATGATTTCTTAAACATTTTACCTGAAACAAGCTGCATTGTTGATTTTGTATTTACATTTTGTTAGTTTATACTATGATGGTTTACGTGTAATATTTCTAACTTTAACGCCAGTAAAAATTCAACTACAGATATTTCCAACTCTAACATGACATTGATAAATATTACGTAGCTATAAAAATAAAATAAATTTAAATCAAAAAATGAATTTATTTTTATACATAAACATATTTTATTATTTTTTAATTAACTAGATAAAATAAAATAAATTTAAATTAATATTTTTTATTTCTAATTCTGGTGTCAATAAATAAAACAATAAAAATAAATTTATTTATATATATATATATACATGTATTTATATTTTTTTAAGGGTGTTGGGTCTGACCCAACCTACAGGGGCTGGGATGGATCCAGCAGTTCAGCCTGGTCACTGAACTAAGCCAGTGACCGACTGGGTATCAGGCGTGCGCCACACAGGCCTGCTACATAACAAGAATCAAGTGAATTATAACCCGCGTACTTGCTACAGTAGCAAGTGAATTATAATTCACAGCTATTGTAGCTGTGAATTATAATGCAAAGGAGAGAATAAGAGATACCTGGTTCAGGTGCTGCCGAAAGCGAAAATGATGACTAGCCAGTGCTACTCCTCTTTGTTTCTGCTTTTCGTTTACTCCTCTAGTTCTTGCTTTTTTATTTTCTTGGTTGCTGGAGTTATGAAGGAGTTCTATCGTCCCTCTCCTCGATTTTAGTTTTCCTTGTTCTGTCGTCTTCTTCTTTTTTGTTTCGGTTTGTCCGTCTGTCCAAGGGGCGGTGCAACCCGAGACAAGGCTGGTGCTCGTGCGTTGGCTGGCCAATGCTTCTCTCTTTTCTGTCTCGTTTGCTTCTTCAGTCGTCCCCTGTTTTTTTTTTCTGCATTCTTCTCCCTTTCTGAGGCCTTCCTCTGGCTTTTATAAAGCCAGAGAAGGTCTGGTGTCCCTGCCTCTAGAAATGATGGGCATCGTGGAGGCGAGAGATCATGGCCGCATCGTGGGTATAGTGGCCGTGATCTGCTGGATTTTCCCCTGTTGAACCGGTCTTCGACAAACAGATGATGAACAGTAGGATCCAAAACGGCGTCATCTGGCATGGAATTTGACAAATTATAGATTGGTCCCTGATGTTTTGAAATGCATCAATTAGGTCCCTTAATCAATATTTTTTTATTTTGCCCCTTGGATTAATTTTAATTAAATTCTTGAATTTATTTAATTAATTAAATTAAGAGCGAAAACTTATTAATTTTATTAATTTTATTAATTAAACTAATCTAAATTTTAATTAAATTTTCAAACTTATTAATTATTCAATTTTTAATTAATTTACTCTCAGATATAATAAAACTTCAAATTTATGTTGTTTTAACTCTATTCTTAGATATATTTTTATCAATTTATTTTTTATTTTTTTATTTAAAAATTAGGTTATGACAAGTGTGTGCATTTTTTTTTAATTTCATTTTATCTTTCAATAGTTGGTTTGTTGGAGATTAAATTTCATAACTTATTTCAATTTGTTTTCTATATGATTATTACAATCTCATAATCTATGTCGTGAGTTTGACGGATTAACCTAATTAACTTGAGTTTTTTTACCTTTTTTCAATTGACTTTTCTTTTTATTTTATCATTTAATATTTTATTCATTAAAAATTAGATTTCATAATTTTTTTTGGTTTGCTTTCTACGAGATTATTCTAATCTTATAATCTAAGTCACATGTTTAACAAATTAACTCATGTTATTTTTTAATATTTTAAAATTGATATTTTTCAATTCATTAGATTTTTCAAAAATTATGCTTCATAATTTATTTTAATTTATTTTATATATGAAAATCTTAACCTCATGTCCCAGGTCGAGAGTTTATAAGGTTAACTTGGGCTGTATTTTGATTTGATTTTTATGAGGTTATTTTGATCTCATGATCTAGGTCACAAGAATGGTAGGATAATCCGAGTTGACTCAGGTTGATTTTTTTTATTTTTTTATTATTGAGTTTTTTTTTTAATTTCATCTTTCAATATTGAGCTAATTGGAAATTGAATTTTTTATTTTTTTTAATTTGTCTTTTATGATATTATCTTGATCTCATGACTAGAATTGCAAATTTAACTAATTAATTTAAGCCGACTCAAGTCATTAGTTTTTATTTTTTTAATTAAATTTTTTTTTAAAATTTTATCATTTAATATTGAATTAATTAAGAATTAATCTTTATAATTTATTTTTATTTGTATTATATTGAATTTATCATGGTTTTATAATTAATTTTTTTAATCAAATTATAATTTTAGCCATTAACTAAGTTGTATTTAGATTTACCCAGTTAACTGCATTATATCGAGTGATTTTCTATATAATTTATCTTATTAACAAAATCTATTAATAAATTCTAAATATTTTTTATATTTAAAAAAATAATAATTTAAAATAGCGTAGGCGTAGCAGGTGATTGAGGTCCTGCTAGGCCGTGGCTTTAGTCCTTTGTTCGTAGCCTTTGACCCATTTCTAAGACAATGCAAAGGCGACAAGTTTGTGTCTTAAGATACACTTTATCCTCCGACATTTAAGAGCTGCGTTGAAATGCAAAGTCTTTTTGTCCAGCTGTTCAATTTGCTTTGCTTCCAAGGAATTCTGGTTTCGGCTTTTCCATGAGACAAAGCCACCTAATCCTCTTTGACGATCCAAAGCTCATGGTGATATTCCCCGACAATAGCTTTTTTCCAATTTTTATATTTTAAAAAATAAATTTTATTTTATTTTAAATTAATAATTTTATTTTATTTTTAAATTATTTTAATACATAATATTAAAAATAATTTTTAAAAATAAAAAATATTATTTTACTATATTAAAAAAATATATACTTTAGTGACATTTCCAAACATTTTTGAAAGCTAATGATAACTTATATATACATGTTAAATCAAACATCTTCCGTTACTAACCACGACAACAACTATAATCATAAAAGATACAGCTGCACTTATGTCCACAATCACGATTATTACCACAACGCAACCTTTAAACCAAACAAAATTTAATGATGTTTTTTATTTGTTCGAAGGTTGATGAGTAGAGGTACATACTGCATTTTGTCCAATATGAAACTTTAAGCATCACAATGTGATCCTAAGGTGACTTGCTAAATTATTCCCTTAACTTTTATAATTTAATGAAACATGCATACGCAACTAGATAAAGAACCGTTTATTTTTATGTTTTTTAAAAATTTAATTTTTTTATTTATATTTCCAAACCATTTCAATATATTTATGTTAAAAATAAATTAAAAAATTTATTTTAATATAATTTCAAATAAAAATTATTTTAAAAAATAACCATTACATGAATATCTAACATGCTCTAATAATACTTAGACTTAAAACAAAAACAAATTATTTTATTTGAAACTCAAATATAATCTTTTTTTCAAGGAAAAAAAAAAAGAGAATGTGGTGGGAGTTATCACATGCGTGCTCTTTGTACAAACCTCATCAGAATAAGGAAAGCCTCAATCTTCCCCGTAATATAATACGCAATTTTGAATTTCATGCCAAAACAAAAAATTATATCAATTGACGTTTGTGAATCTCGTTCCTTCTCTTCATGTCTGTAAAAGTTCTGCTCAATTCAATTATTTTGTGCCAGAAAATAGTGTATTTTAAAGAAAGTTTAAAAAATATCCAAAAATATTGATGAACTGTATTAGTTTGGATTATTGATGAAATAATCTATTTTCTTTTCTTCTTTTTTTTTAAAGAAAAAACATAGAAAAGTATAAAGTGTGCTGTAGATCAATTATTATGGTAATTTTGTTTCTCGAAGGAGGTACATAATAAGAGTTATTTAAAAAAATATTAAAATAGTATTTTTTATGTTTTAAAAATTATTTTTTATTATAATATATTAAAAAAGTATATTGTGGCGAATATAATCAGTTAATGTGTTGGCAGATTATTTAAACTCCACAATATCAAATCACCAAATAGCTATTTATAATATGTTGATGTATGTTTTTTTTATAGAAAATACATATATTTTTTATTCAGTTTAGGAAAGAATTTTAATTAAAAGGAATGATTTTTTTATTTTTATATTCAATATTATTATATATTTTTTAGTTTTTTATTTTAGTTTTCTTATTCAGTATTATTAAAAATTTATGGTTTTACTACCTAAAAAATTGTAATAACAATTTTTTAAATTAAATACATAAAAATTAAATATTTTGTACGTCTCACATTTTTAGTCTCTGAAGATTTTAAATTATAATAAACATTATTCGTTTTTTAGATTTAATTTGAATTTGTAATAAATGACTTTATCTTTATTTTTAATTATGTAATATTTATTTTATTAATTTCTTTTTGAGCTAGAAAGTAAATTTTCAATTTAAATATTAATTATCGAACCCACTTAATCTCTTATTATATTGCAAAGCAATCTGTGCCATGATCATTGCTTGCCTTAATAATCAACATGTTTCTCA